ATTGTACCTTTAAAGGCTGGTGCTCCTCCAATATTAATTTTGTTTATTGTCCCTTTAAAGGCTGGTGCTCCTCCAATATCAATTTTGTTTATTGTACTTTTAACGGCTGGTGCTCCTCCAATATTAATTTTGTTTATTGTCCCTTTAAAGGCTGGTGCTCCTCCAATATTAATTTTGTTTATTGTCCCTTTAAAGGCTGGTGCTCCTCCAATTCCTCTGTCTGAGAGTTCCTCCTTGATTATTAGAGATAACAGATTCTCACTCAGGTAAAGTTAAAGGGACAGATAAATTATTTTTTTACAAGTTTAAAGGGACTGTTTACGTAATTTCTAGGGATTCCCATTTATAGACCAGATTTACAACGGAACCCTTAAATACTTAATCTGTACTCAGCATGAGTAGGAAGATAATTTCATGTTTCGAAAAAAGAGACTAATTCTGTCAATTTCCTTACTTGTCTTAACAACATATATGAGTAAATACAAAAAACGTTTATAAGGAGACAAAACAAGGATTTCTCAGGCCCTTTTACTCATACAAAGTTTTAAAGGCTACGAAGGATCACTTGTAATTATGGCTTAGTTCCTTTACAAGAACTCGGGAAACAAACTTTAAATTTAAATTTTAGAATATCCATCTAAACTTAAATCAATTTCCCTCCCATGGTTGAAATCATTTAAAATCAAGGGTGGAAACATTTTTAGTTTATTTAACTTGAATGAATGCTTTGTCCGCCATTAATCAATTTATTTGTTTGAAATAAAAAAAAATACTGGTTGCAGATACAATAAACAATGTAAAAATCAGGTTATATAATCCTAATTCAATCCCCTGATAGCCCTTTTCATAGCCTTTATTATTCTCATTCAATTCTTCATTATTACTTCTTTTCCCTTTTCTTATAATACTTTCACCTTCTTACTTTGTTAATATTCTCTTAACTTTTCCAGACTTTCATTTCCTTTCAACTCATTTTTTCATATTTCCCCATTCTCCTCTCCTTACATTACTTTCCTTTCACACTTTTGTCCTAGATTATTCCTTACTTCCCTTTTCCTCACGTTTACTTCCTTCCATCTCATTTCTCCATGATTCCCTTCAACATTTCCCTACCCTACTCCTCCCCTTATACTACCCTGATTTCACCTTTTTATCCTCCTTCATGATTTTTTCTTCCTTTGTTTCTGGCTTTTTCTTCATTCCATTTCTCCATAATTTCCTATTCTTTTCTTTTAACTTTTCCCTTCCCTACTCCTCTCCTACTTTCCATCCCCCCTTTTTAATTTGATTATTCTTTACTTCCTTTTGCAAGGCTTTTACTTCCTTGCACCTCATTTCTTTACTTCCTTGCACCTCATTTCTTTACTTCCTTGCACCTCATTTCTTTACTTCCTTGCACCTCATTTCTTCCCCATCTTTAAACTTTTCTCCTACTTCTTTCCTGCTACTACCTTCATTTCACCCTTTTTCCTTGATTATTCTTTATACTTCTTTTTTCCTGGCTTTTACTTCCTTCCACCTCATTTCTCCAAAATTATTCTTTTTCTTTCACAGAGCTAATTATTTATTTTAAAATGTTTTGCTTTTAAATGGCGAAAATAGTTTTCATACTATAAGAATTTGATTTGTTAAAGGAGTGTTAAAATTTAACACTTAGCTGTTGTACAGTGTATACACCCTTCCCCCATTTCAATTATTTATATTGTTTAACATTGTGTTTAACATGATTAAAGTTTGGACCCCACCCTTCCCACATTGGCACATTGCATTGGGTTTAATTGGTATTATTCAAACCTTTTTTTTTTACTTTAAATGTTTTCCTTAATTATGGATATTTTGGTCTACGTACGTGAAGCCTAGAAAACTGAGGAATAGAAAGAAAGCAACCTGATGTGTATCAGATGTTGTTTTGTGTACACTGTACAAGTTGTGTATTTAATGTTAAACGGACTATTGAAATCTTAACTTGTGTCTAAAAGTCGGCTTCCTATTCCACTGCCTAATGGGTCTCACTTTATGAGATTTAAATTTGATCAAAAGGTTTTGACATTTTGAGCACATAACTTTTATATTTCAGGAGCAGTACAATTGATATGGATTGTTCTGTACTGTATGGTACTGAGTACCCTGTACTGTGGATGAAACAAACTGTAAGTACACATTAATCAAACAATCAATAACACCATTCAAATTTTTGAAAAATAATAGTAAACAAAAGAATATTTTTAATAATTTAAAAATTGCATCAATATTAATTTTGACTATTGCCCTTTAAAGGCTGGTGCTCCAATATTAATTTTGTTTATTGTCCCTTTAAAGACTGTTGCTCCTCCAATATTAATTTTGTTTATTGTCCCTTTAAAGGCATCAATTTCACATTTGTCACAACTTCACGGTGCCTTCTTTCTAAAGATTCTGTTTGTTGTAGAGATTCGGCATCAGAAAGGAACGGAGTTTTGCCACAAACTCAAACTGGTTAATCTTTATTTCTTTGCAACATGATGGTGTAAACCTTTGGTATTTCAAACTTAGATTATTTGATCCAAGGTTATAATGCAAGGAAGGATGTCACAAGCCTGACTTGGGATTCATCTTTTACATAAAAATTCAATGAAATATTCTGGTCATAGGAAACTATTATATGTGAAATATAAAAATTATCAAAATTAAATGCTTTTATCCTCTTCGGATTCCAAACGAACACTGATGCATCTATTCTTGTTTAAAACTTCCGCCCAGAGAGAACTGGTTTCAATATGTACGCAGAGTATACTGCAATTAACTTTCCTTGCATTATAACCTTGATTTGATCTAACTTAGTTCTTAGTTTGAAATATTGCAAAGATATAGGATTTTAACGCATCAGAGTTGTCTGGCAAAAACTAAGTTCCTTTGCTCGAATTTTAATTGCAAGGGTCCAGCTAAATCTAATTGATGAACAAGTAAAATATAAAGATAAAATCTGTTGAATTTAAAATAGTAAAAGTAACAAAATCGTTCAAATTTAACATTTATGCATTTTTTTAATATACTGAAGGATACGGATACAGGGAATTACTAGAAGTGAGCCAACTCCGTAACACCCCCCAATATGCTTTAGTGGGAACAATTTTCAAGGGGTGAGCCATTGCTTCAATGTTTACCCCTGTAGTGTATCCGACCCTGTAGTTTGTTCGCCCCTGTAGTGTATCCGCCCCTGTAGTGTATCCGCCCCTGTAGTGTANTTATTATTATTATTATTATTATTATTATTATTATTATTATTATTATTATTATTATTATTATTATTATTATTATTATTATTATTATTATTATTATTATTATTATTATTATTATTATTATTATTATTATTATTATTATTATTATTATTATTATTATTATTATTATTATTATTATTATTATTATTATTATTATTATTATTATTATTATTATTATTATTATTATTATTATTATTATTATTATTATTATTATTATTATTATTATTATTATTATTATTATTATTATTATTATTATTATTATTATTATTATTATTATTATTATTATTATTATTATTATTATTATTATTATTATTATTATTATTATTATTATTATTATTATTATTATTATTATTATTATTATTATTATTATTATTATTATTATTATTATTATTATTATTATTATTATTATTATTATTATTATTATTATTATTATTATTATTATTATTATTATTATTATTATTATTATTATTATTATTATTATTATTATTATTATTATTATTATTATTATTATTATTATTATTATTATTATTATTATTATTATTATTATTATTATTATTATTATTATTATTATTATTATTATTATTATTATTATTATTATTATTATTATTATTATTATTATTATTATTATTATTATTATTATTATTATTATTATTATTATTATTATTATTATTATTATTATTATTATTATTATTATTATTATTATTATTATTATTATTATTATTATTATTATTATAATAATAATAATAATAATAATAATAATAATAATAATAATAATAATAATTATTATTATTATTATTATTATTATTGTTATTTTTATTATCATTATTATTATTAGTATTATTATAATTATTTTATTACTATTATTAATTTTATCTATCTAGGTATGATACAGCTAGTGCTACCTATACCCTGCAGCTGAAGGATGTCCAGACCTCTGATGAAGGAAGATACGAATGTCAGATTATTGTTGGGATAAATAATAAGGTAAAATTATCAATTAAAGAGGGGGGGTGGGGATCATGAATTTTAAAAAGGGTTTCTGTTCTCAAAATCGATTTGTACTTTTATGTAAAAACAAACTGTGAACAAGATTTAATTTCACAACAAAATTTTTTTTTGACAATGCATATTTTAATTGTTTTAACAAGTTTATGGATTGATTGATTGACTGTTCGGTATATTGATTGATTGATAATTATTTGATTGATTAGGTTACTGAGTCTCTGTACCTGAGAGTGCTTGAACCCCCAGTTATAAATGATAATTCTACAAGAAGGTTAATTTTATCCAATTTCTTAAACTTAGTTTTTGAGATTTTAATTACAAAGTTGTTGTGGATAACTTTATGCTTATTAATACAGTGTTGTTGCGGATGAATTCAATCCTATTATTTAAGTGTTGTTACGGATGAACTTAACCCTATTATTAAAGTATTGTTGAGGATGAATTTAACCCTATTATTACAGTGTTGTTGTGGATAAATTTAACCCTATTATTGAAGTGTTGTTGCGGATGAATTTAACCCTATTATTAAAGTGTTGTTGCGGATGAATTTAACCCTATTACAGTGTTGTTGTGGATGAATTTGACCCTATTATTAAAGTGTTGTTGCGGATGAATTTAACCCTATTACAGTGTTGTTGTGGATGAATTTGACCCTATTATTACAGTGTTGTTGCGGATTAATTTAACCCTATTATTACTGTAATGTTGTGGATGAATTTAACCTTATTATTACAGCGCTGTTGTGGATGAAATTAACCTTATTATTACAGTGTTGTTGTGGATGAATTTATCCCCATTATTACAGTGTTGTTGTGGATGACTTTAACCCTATTATTACAGTGTTATCGTGAATGAATTTAACCCTATTATTACAGAGTTGTTGTGGATGACTTTAACCCTTTTTTTACAGTGTTGTTGTGGATGAATTTAACCTTATTATTACAGTGTTATTGTGAATGAAATTAACCCTATTATTACAGTGTTGTTTTAGATGCATTTAACCCTATTATTACAGTGTTGTTGTGGATGAATTTAACCCTATTATTACAGTGTTGTTGTGGATGAATTTAATCCTGCCACCCTGGAATGTTCTGCCAGGGGGTCGCCCACCCCAAGAATAGAATGGAGAAGGGAAAACAATGCAGTACTGCCAACTGGAGGATTAATCTACAGGTGCAGTACAAGATATCTATATATATATATATATATATATATATATATATATATATCTAAAAACAAAAACAAAAAATCGATATCATTGATTTATTTTAGTTTAGTTTCACCTGAAAACAGAAACATGATATTCAAAAATATTCTGACTTGAGTCCAATATGTCAATTAATATTTATCTTTGTAACCTGATATTTATATATCAAGTTTTGACTATTTATCCAACAGAATTAATAGATTTTAATATCGAAGGTCTACCACATCAGGTTGCAAAGGTATATCGGTCAAAAAAGTCCTATGGCGGGTGTTTGGTTCCTTTAGATTTTTTTTAAACAAAAGTGGAAAATAGGATTTGGAATTGATTTTCAAAAGTTATTTAACGCCAGAATCAATTATTTTATTTTTATCTTTATATTGAATTTCTCATTTTCTATGAATTTGTTTGTATATTTCTACAAATTTCCTTGAATGTCGTTTTTTAATAAAAATTACAGAAAATCTAAAGAAAATCTTTGTGAATGGTGAAAAATTACAAAATCTAAAATATGAAAAAGATTACTTTTTTCGATAATAAGAGTTAATTTTTATTTTCTCAACCTGTTCCTAAACAACTAATTAGCTTACTGTAGAGTTTTTGTTACATTTTTGTCTTTGTTATTTAATAATTTTAAAAAACCGATTCTCAAAACGTATCAACCCAAAAAGATGATTTTAAAAGTCGACTTTGCGATAAAACTCAGAGATTATACAATGTAGAAACGTTACATATGTCTCAAATGAATTCTAAAGAATGTGTCCACAACATTACAGATTCAGTTCAACCACCATACATTGCCGGTCACTCATTTTAAGTATTCATTTTTGGAAATGCGATTTATTTTGATTGATTGATTGATTTGTTTGATTCAGGGGTAACACGTTAAAGATCTACAGTGTGAAGAAGGAGGACAGAGGAACATATTTCTGTGTGGCGGATAACGATGTTGGGAAACCAGCTAAACGAAATGTTGCGCTAGAGGTAACATGTTACAAGATATAGGAAGGAGGGGGGAGGTAAGGAAAATAGGGAAAATAGAGGAAAATTGTGGAAAATAGTTGGGAACAAAATGTATTTACATTTTTTTTAAATAATTAAATTCAAATAGATTAAACTTTTATATTATTGCAGAATTTTTGGTCGAAACTGAACTTCAAGAAAAATATAGGCTTCAGTTTTAGGTTACCCAGTCGGTCTGTGTACTGCAATATACTGCAGAACTCATTAAAAGCTTAGTTCACTCTCAACTAAACGCTGCCATATCTTCGGTCTGAGTTCTGCAATATACTGCAGAACTCACTAAAAGCTTAGTTCACTCTCCACTAAGCGCCACTATATCTTCGGTCTGAGTTCTGCAATATACTGCAGAACTCACCAAAAGCTTAGTTCACTCTCCACTAAGCGCCACTGTATCTTCGGTCTGTGTACTGTAATATACTGCAGAACTCATTAAAAGCTTAGTTCATTCTCCACTAAACACTACTATATCTTCGGTCTGTGTACTGTAATATACTGCAGAACTCACCAAAAGCTTAGTTCACTCTCCACTGAACACTACTATATCTTCGGTCTGTGTACTGCAATATACTGCAGAACTCACCAAAAGCTTAGTTCACTCTCAACTAAACGCTACTAAATCTTCGGTCTGTGTACTGTAATATACTGCAGAACTCACCAAAAGCTTAGTTCACTCTCCACTGAACACTACTATATCTTCGGTCTGAGTTCTGCAATATACTGCAGAACTCACCAAAAGCTTAGTTCACTCTTCACTAAACACTACTATATCTTCGGTCTGTGTTCTGTAATGTACTGCAGAACTCATTAAAAGCTTAGTTCACTCTTCACTAAACACTACTATATCTTCGGTCTGTGTTCTGCAATATACTGCAGAACTCATTAAAAGCTTAGTTCACTCTTCACTAAACTCTACTATATCTTCGGTCTGTGTACTGTAATATACTGCAGAACTCACCAAAAGCTTAGTTCACTCTTCACTAAACGCTACTATATCTTCGGTCTGAGTTCTGCAATATACTGCAGAACTCATTAAAACCTTAGTTCACTCTCCACTAAACACTACTATATCTTCGGTCTGTGTACTGCAATATACTGCAGAACTCACCAAAAGCTTAGTTCACTCTTCACTGAACACTACTATATCTACGGTCTGAGTTCTGCAATATACTGCAGAACTCATTAAAACCTTAGTTCACTCTCCACTGAACACTACTATATCTTCGGTCTGTGTACTGCAATATACTGCAGAACTCATTAAAACCTTAGTTCACTCTTCACTAAACACTACTATATCTTCGGTCTGAGTTCTGCAATATACTGCAGAACTCACCAAAAGCTTAGTTCACTCTCCACTGAACACTACTATATCTACGGTCTGAGTTCTGCAATATACTGCAGAACTCATTAAAAGCTTAGTTCACTCTCCACTAAACACTACTATATCTTCGGTCTGCGTTCTGCAATATACTGCAGAACTCATTAAAAGCTTAGTTCACTCTCCACTAAACACTACTATATCTTCGGTCTGTGTACTGTAATATACTGCAGAACTCACCAAAAGCTTAGTTCACTCTCCACTAAGCGCCACTGTATCTTCGGTCTGTGTTCTGCAATATACTGCAAAACTCACCAAAAGCTTAGTTCACTCTCCACTAAACGCTACTATATCTACGGTCTGTGTTCTGCAATATACTGCAGAACTCACCAAAAGCTTAGTTCACTCTCCACTAAACACTACTATATCTACGGTCTGAGTTCTGCAATATACTGCAGAACTTATTAAAAGCTTAGTTCACTCTCCACTAAACGCTTCTATATCTTCGGTCTGTGTACTGCAATATACTGCAGAACTAATATCTTCGGTCTGAGTTCTGCAATATACTGCAGAACTCATTAAAAGCTTAGGTGTGGGTGTACCCTAAAAAAACTAAAAAATGTTTTTAAAAGTTATTTACAAAAACGATTTTTCTAATGCGAGCTTCTTTTCATTGAATCTGCCATTTAAATATATTTAAACCATTGTATTCATTTACAAAACATTTTCCCACGGTAAATTTCCCCATCTCATCTTTCCTTCATTTCCCCCACCATCCCCTAGCCCTGGGGTGTTTTCCCCATGTTTATTGCCGTATAATCAACCACTGATATCTGCATTATGCAAATAACATATTTCTCTTTTTAACTACTTATTATACAGAGCGTCCCATATGATATTAGATCATCTCCAAGTTTTAACGCCAAAATAAAAGCATAATACTCAAAAAATCTAGCATTTTCCGCAAGCAAATTCTTATAGTAGCCTTATTCAATTTTTCAAAATGATTCATTCTTCTAAAATTATCTGATTAGTCCCGAAAATTGTAATTTTGACCGATTAACGATCTAATATGATGTGGGACACCCTGTACATTATACAGGGAGTCGTCTTTAAACTTTAATATCTATGATAATGATATTGTGGGTGTCAAAAAAATGTAAGATTTTCAAATGCAGTAACTCTATTTTGTGCCTTGAAAAAAAATCAAGGAAATTGGCCTGACTTAATTTTGTTTTATTTAAGATTATCGAAAGGCTAGATGTAGGGATTTATAAATAATTTGTTTTATGAATCATACTTTTAAAATAAGATTGAACACTAAACGCCACAAAGTCGATCTTTTGAGCTGTCTCTCAATTAATATGTTTTGTGTATTTTTATCTAATTATTTTTTACAATTAAAATTGTTTATTCGATCCCTCCTATCCGGCCATGCTCTAATCCCTCCTATCCGGCCTTGCTCTAATCCCTCTCGAACCTCCAGAACGTCCTCCTCATCTACTTCGAATATCAACTAATCCTCCATGTATTCCTTCATCACGCTCCTCCCTTCTGGGCTAATATCCTTACCCTGTGCCAACTCAAACCTTCCCCCTCCCCCTCATTACTAATAAATTTTAAAAAGGGTTTCTGTTCNGAGTAAACAGAGTTTATATATTCATGGAGTATAAATATATAGAGTAAACAGAGTTTATATATTCATGGAGTATAAATATACAGAGTAAACAGAGTTTATATATTCATGGAGTATAAATATACAGAGTAAACAGAGTTTATATATTCATGAAGTATAAATATACAGAGTAAACAGCGTTTATATATTCATGGAGTATAAATGTATAGAGTAAACAGAGTTTATATTTTTATAGAGTATGAATATATAGAGTAAACAAAGTTTATATATTCATAGAGGATCAATATATAGAGAAAACAAAGCTTGTATATTTTCATTGAGTATGAATATACAAACACTCTTTATCTCATGTACACAAACTCCCATAACTTGCGTAATTTACGCAGACGTGATTGAACGTGAGAACATAACACTAGGGAAACCAAACTCTATTTAATATTAGTTTAAGATGAATTAATTATTGAAATAAGGTTTAGAATCAAGGAATAATTAGATTTTATTCTTATAAGTTCTATTCGGTTTTATTCGGTTGTACGCTGTTTTATTGTGTTTTCTCTGTTTTATTCTGTTTTACTCTGTTTTACTCTGTTTTACTCTGTTTTACTCTGTTTTACTCTGTTTTACTGTGTTTTACTCTGTTTTACTCTGTTTTACTCTGTTTTACTCCGTTTTACTCCGTTTTACTCTGTTTTACTCTGTTTTACTCTGTTTTACTCTGTTTTACTCTTATTTACTCTGATTTACTATGATTTACTCTGTTTTAATCTGATGTATTCTGTTTTATTCCATTTTAATCTGTTACTTTCAGCTTTATTTGGTTTTATTCTTCTTTTTTCTTTAAAATCTCCATTCTCATTTACTCGTTTTTTTAGGTTTATTTTGTGTTTCTGTTTTAATATTTAACATTTTATTTCGACTAATGATAACATTTCAAAAAATATTACATGCATACAAACAATATTGTTAAAAAAAATCAATTCAAAATTAAATGTTAAAAAAACATACATACAATACATTAGTTAGGACTTATCTATTCTGTATTCTCATATTCAATCTTCATTATTGTATTATTGTTTTTATTATGTTTTTGTATGATAAATTATATATAAAATGTTTAGGTTGAGTTCCCTCCAACAATTGTTGATGATGTTGTAGACCGGGTTATTGAACAGAGATACGATGAAGCATTTCCTCCTGCAACTATTACTTGGATACATAATGGAATCCAGGTACAGTAAAGGATTAACATTGGACTAGGGTTGGACTAGGGTTGGACTAGGGTTGGACTAGGGTTGGACTAGGGTTGGACTAGAGTTGGACTAGGGTTGGACTAGGGTTGGACTAGGGTTTGAATTGTAATTAGTTTTAACTTTAATAAAGAAAATTGGAATCTGATAATATTAGTTGAACTTAGAATTCTTCTTTCTAATGGAAAAAAATGTCGAAACTTTTTTGGTGGAAAGTTTAAATTTTATGTTACTATAAACCTTCTTTATGATAATATCTCTGAACTATTGTTTAGGTTTTTATTTTGTTTTATATTGTTTTAAATTTACCGTTGTCATTACGAAATAAAGTTAAATCATTTATGTAGTCTTCAACAAGTCTTGGTTTGTTCTTTACATCAAGAAGGAAGTGCGGGAGGGTGGGTTGGCGACCCTCCCCCCTTCATATCAAGACCCTCCCCCCACATTCATTCTCTCGATACCACTGTAAATATGAACATTTACATGGATATGAAATCTGTTCTCTAATCCGTGTGAAAATTCCTGCAAAAACTCAAACTTCCTGAAACCGAGCTCGCTTAGTGCTGATTATCTTTTGTAGGATTTCTACACACAGGGGGCTGAAATTTATATTTCGTAATGGCTGAGGGGGGGGGGGGGCACTTTAAAACTACATTGAGACCCAAGCAACTCTGAGATAGGAAGACGACTTTTAGACTTTAGTTATGGCTTTTAAGGAATTCTTTAGATTTATTTTAGATTGTTAACAATTAAAATGAATCTAGCCTCTGATATTTTAGAGATCTGTCAATGACCGAGATTTCGCTTTGTACAAGGGTATTGGAGTTGAGGGGTCAATATCCTCTACTCTTAAAATCAAGGTAAACAAAACAAGACAATTCAAAACCTTGACTTTTGTTACTCCATTCAAACCCCCGACTTTCTGTTGATTTGGTTGAATTTATCCAAAACCTGACATTTGGTTGACTTTATCCAAACCTGACGTTTGGTTGACTTTATCTAAAACCTTACATTTGGTTGATTTTATCCATAACCTGAAGTTTGGTTGACTTTTTCCATAACCTGACGTTTGGTTGACTTTATCCAAAACCTGACGTTTGGTTGACTTTATCCATAACCTGACGTTTGGTTAAGTTTATCTAAATGACGTTTGGTTGAATTTATCCAAAACCTGAAGTTTTGTTGGCTTTATTAAAATCTAACAAAAGATTATTGACTTATTTCGTTTCTCGATATAGATCAGGAAAACTGACATCCATCAACTTGAAATTTTTTAAAATTATGAACATAAAGAAAATAAACAAATCCTACAGGTTCAGTTGTAACCTAAAAATATTATGTAGTATCATTATTATTGTTTAAATATGTTTAAATATTCTAATTATTAAGTCGCTAACTGATGAACTTGTTGGAAACTATGTCTGCAAGGCTGCAAATAAACTTGGGTCTGCAGACACAGGATTTAAGGTAGATATTTAGTATCATCATCATCATCATCATCATAATCATTATTATCTTCAATGCCTTTTTTTGTCATCATCGTGATATTTACAATATAACTTTTGAAAAAATTTATCCAATTTTTGATTAAAATATTAAAATATTTGGTTTTTCGCCCTTAAAATTTGTTCTAAAAAAAAATATTTAGAAAAATTGTATTGTTATCATAATTTTTATCTCCACTGTTCTGATCAACTTAATTAAATGTAAAAGGAATTGAGTATTAATAGTTTGAAATATCTAAGGTCTACGACATTGGGTTACACAAATATAGAGATTAGAAAATCAGACTTTGTGGCAAAAACTCAACTCCTTTGACTATAATCTCTTTAAACTACAGAACTAGATATTTTTATTGTATTTTTCTCTGTTACAGGTTGTAAGAGGATATCAGACTAACTGTGACGTAGGAAACTGTGATTACAATTCCTACTCAAGAGTTCTTCCATCCTTCATCCTTACTTCCTTCCTTCTGTCTCCTCTTTTCTTCTAATCATCCCTTCCCTTTCTACTTCCTTCCTTCTGTCTCCTCTTTTCTACTAATCATCCCTTCCCTTCCTATTTACTTCCTTCCTTCTTACTCCTCGTTTCTTATAATCATTCCTTCCCTTCCCTTTCTACTTGCTTCCTTCTGTCTTCTCTTTTCTACTAATCATTCCTTCCATTACCTTTTTACTTCCTTCCTTCTGTGTCCGCTTTTCTACTAATCATTCCTTCCTTTCCCTTTCTAATGCCTTCCTTCTCTCTCCTCTTTTTTACTAATCATTCCTTCCCTTCCCTTCTCTATATTAAAGCATTCCATACATTATCCTACATCCTTATGCACTTCCTTCTTCCTTTCATTCTCAAGTCAATTTCACTTATCCCCCTTCAACCCTTTCTCAAGAACATTTTTGAAACAAGAGAATAAAATCCAAAATAAAATACATGATCCAACATGAAAGACTGCTGTATAAGTGATACAAATCTAAAATGATATCCAGTGAACAAAAGACGACATTTAGTGACGAAATTATAAATATATGTGAAATCAGCAATCAGTGTCTGATTTCTTAGCTGTGGTTCTTTGTACATTGTTGTTTAAATATACAATTGATAAAAAGCTTCAACTTTATTTTACCTTACTAAACTTTACTAAATGGAATTTTATAAACTGAACGGGGTCCAACCTACAGCACAATGTTCTACTACTGTAGATATTAAGAGCTGTATATATATCTATATTATATATATATAAAGTTGTAATCTCTATTTGTCTTTCGATTTTTATGTCCGATTATAACTCATAAACCCCTAGACCGATTTGCCTCAAATTTTTATTGTGAAACTCAGAAGTACCACGGGAATGTTCTTAGATTGGTTTGAGTTTCTAAGTAGAGTGGGTCGACTTTTAAAGGGAAAAATAGATAAAATCGTAATAAGACCAAGCGCGGGTAAACGACGGGGCAACTATGAGCAACCTGGTCAACGCTGGGTCCCCAAGCTAGTGCCCTATAGATTGATACAAAGTACAAGGTGCACCAATAACCATTGAAAAGTAAAGACGAATTGCAAATCGGTTTTTTTTATTTCCAATAGTTGATTATTAACCTGAAGTGTATTCAAAAAAGAGTTTAACGTTGCTCGGGTTTTCCAAACTTAGTATTTGTGTCTTAATTTGACAAAGAGTTAGAAATTTAGATAATTTTAATTTAATCTCAATAGATTGCAATACATGAAAACTTCAGTCTTTGTTGAAGGTCCATAATTGACAGGTCAAAAAAAAAATTGATAAAAAACGTTTAAAATTGTTAAGTAAATAACTGTTTTAACAATATGCTCCAGCGTGGATGAAAGAAGATGTCAAAGTGGTCTATCATTTGGAGACACCCTATAGTAGTTAGTAATGGTATTCGCTTTATTGGGACACTCTGTAGTAAAGCAGAAGCATATGAAACCTTTGTTCATAATCGTATTAAAATCCAGAAAACAGTTTTCCTCTTTGTTTATTGCATTGAGTGAGGGAAATCATCGAACAGTTAAATTCGTAGATTTTAACTATCGAGTAATACAGTTAACCCCTAAATTAAACCATAAATCGAAAGAATTTATAAAATGTCGTCTTGCCAATTTTTAAATGGGTTTTATACTATTTTACGTAAATCTCAGTATTTGCGAAAAAATAAATAGCCATGAATATGCGAGAACAGTTTTAAAGAGCTCCATATAATCATATAATTAATAAATTAAATATCTGCAACATTCCATTATCAGAAAGTGAGGAATACGACATTTGATGAATTCTTTCGATATATTGCTTATTTAGGAATTAACTGTATAATATTGATCATAGATAGATATTCATATAGATGCATATATTTATAATTATCACTAAGTTAAAGGGAGTGTTCGCGAAAAATGAAAGGGGGTATAGGTTTAATGCGATAAAAAAGCGCTTTTGATCGCTACTAATCTTACTTCTATCTGTTGCGTCTATAAGGAGAAAATTGTTAAAGACGTCTCATACCGAATAACATGGCGTCCATACAAATTGAGAAAATTGCAACATACGACTTAGACCGTAAAAAAATCCATTTAATTTCAAACAAATCATTCAGATATTACAACCTATAGTCATCGATTATCTTTCGCCACATTTGTATATATTTGATATTTCATACTAGTTTTGATTTTGTTTTTTAAAATAATATTTAGCTTACAACTTGTTTTCGAACATTCCTGGAAAATATGAAAATGTCGTCTTCATTACCAAAAATCCTCGAGACAGGAATAAATGTAACTCTCAGATCATAACAATTAAAACATATTATGAAAAATCATCTATATACAAATGTGGCGAAAGAAAATCGATGACTATAGTTTGTAATATCTGAATGATTTGATTGAAATTAAATTGATTTTTTTACGGTCTAAGTCGTATGTTGCAATTTTCTCTATTTGTATGGACACTACGTTCTTCGTATGAAACGTCTTTAACAATTTTCTCCTTACAGACGCAACAGATAGAAGTAAGATTAGTAGCGATCAAAAGCGCTTTTTTATCGCATTAAGCCTATACCCCCTTTCATTTTTCGCGAACACTCCCTTTAAACAGTTATGTTGAAAGGTCTGTAAGCGTAATGTTTAAGTGACCCTCCATGCAAGGAGGACATGATGCCCGATCTAAAACCAAAAAGTAAGGAATAGAAGGGAGATACAACTGACGCGGTTAGCCCTACAATATGATTATACATGCTTTGCAGACGTGTACTCCATTTGTATAAGAAATATTCAGAATAGGTTATTGTATACGCGGTAATTGTACATAGGACAAATATTTTTTATTCAAATAAAGTCTGCAAAGCATGTACAATCATATTGTAGGGCGAACCGCGTCAGTTATATCTCCCTTCTATTCCTTACTCCCTGTCTAAAACCCGTTGACTGTTCATCTGTGGTGAAGAGAGCTCTTTGTATTTTACATAAAAAACGGTTTCCAAATATTCGAAAGTAAATATTTATTTCCCGCCAATTCTAGAAATTGACTTTTCATGGAGGGTTACTTTAAATTAGGCTTACAGTCCCTTTAACACTTACTTTGATTTGTCATGCCAACATTGTCGTTTTTAATACCCTAAACCCAGTGAGTTTTTTATGAGGATAATACAATTAGGAAATATACAGGGTGCCCCACAATATGCAAGTAATTTCTCAACAGTCAAGTATGATATATATCTTCTTGGAAATGTACGAATAGTGCTGTATTCATTTAGTTGTGAACCAATAGTAATGAAAGACCCCCTATTCTTGACATTCCTAAATGTGGTCTGTACCTTTAAAACTTATCAATTTCAATTTGGATGAGATTTTAATGTATTGAATAAAATCTAAATTTTTAAGATTTTTTCGGTAACGGTTAAATTCTTAAAACATTGTTTTTCAAATTTCATCTGTAGAGGCTATATTGAAAACTATCATCAATCTCGTCCCGACATGAACCTTTTTATCAATATAAATACTTTTACAATTATCATAATCTCCTCTCTTCCTTCGAATTTAGATTTAAACCAAATTGTCAAATATTCAATGTGTAAAATATATAATATTCATTTGTGAACCAATAATAATAGAAGACCCCTTATCAATGGCATTCCCAAACTGAGATATTAATGTAATGAATAAAATCTAATTTAAAAATTTTTTCGATGTATAATGTATCTTTTAATATACGAAGAAGACGTACGCACAAATTTAAAAGGTTTAAGACATGAAACCTATTTTCTGTTTAGAATAATACTCCATTATAAATATACAATTTATTCTATCGATTGGAAATATAAAAAATCACATGATTACAATCTGATTTTTTTCAAGAATATGTCGGAGAAATATTGCTTTGAAATATTCAAGAAGAATCTGAAACCAGTGCCAGCTGATCGGGACATCAGGATATCATACTGGAATAGAACAAACATGAAATATTTAATTATTAAATATAAATGGTACAAACAGAAGCATTTCAAGATTACTTTCAAACCAAGGTTGTATAATAGGTTGGTTACTCTTAATGCGCTCCAACGTACGGAAAATGTCGTCTCCCAAGATAGATAGATAATGAGGTTTTATTCATCCATCTTAGAAGACGTACATTGGAGTGCATAGAGAGTAACCCACCTTATCCAAAAACCTTGGTTAAAACTATCTATTTTTTATATTAAATTTTACTAAAAGATTGAGTTTTAACAACGTTTATTCTAAAATAAAAAGATAGAATAAAGAAATACTGATTTCAACACAACATCTAAATAAATCAAAGTTAGAAACTCTAAAACCGATAAAACTTTGGAATAGAAGACGACTTTTAGACTCAACTTATGGTTTTTAACACTCCAATAAACATTAAAACTAATTATGTGGTTTGAATGTCGTCTTCATTCTCCACAATTTTATGTGACTCGATGCAGGTAAATGAATCAAAAGTTTACGGAAAAATATCATTGTTTAATTTTTGGTTGTGAATTTTGAGGAATATATATAATAGCCTTTTCATTTGAAACCTATTCTAAAATTGTTGAAGACGACATTTCATAAATATCATCATAAATTCTATTTTATCACCTGTTTAATAGTTGGTGAGCATATCATCGAATGTTTCTCCGAGATCATCCGCACACTTTTTGATCTTGAGCTTCTCTCTGTAGATCTCGTCCTCAATATCATCAATCCTCTGGTTCAACTTGGTGATGTTCATCTCTCCATACTCAAACCTGAACACAGACGCTGCATAGTCATGCTTGTCTTATTATTATTAAAGGTTTACAACATGAGGCTGTAGGGATATAGGGGCTACAAAACTTTGTTTGTGGCAAAACGTAGTTCCTTTATTTCTTTCATACATAGTGGATTTAGAAAATAGAAAGGTTAAAGAGAGGAAATGTTCTATGAAAGTACATTCTTTCAATTAAATATTACATTAAGATGAAACCTTTATCTGATCGACAATATGGAATATATCGTATATATCTCGAAAAGAAATAAAATAAATATAAAATTAAACCTGGATTTTTATAATAAAATACATGCAACATTATAGTTTCTGCTTGAACCAAGGTTTAAAGCATATTGTTGTAAATAAGGCATATAACCAGAGGCGTATTCATTCAGACAACTCTAAAACTAAATTTATAACTTTAATTAGTAAATTAACATCAGACACAGTAATTGTGCAGTGTATACAGACCCATTTCACTAAACAAGGTGATTATTAAGCTACTGCTAACACTATTAGCTTTGTAACAGCATCAAGTACACTTAATTATTACTCTAATGTCGTCTTCCTATTCCGCAGTATTCTTGTTCTCACTGTATTAAGATGACTGTTAAGCATTTAAAAAGATGTGAGTATAAATCTGTATTCTGTACCTGCCCTCTGCTGCCTTCTATATATAAATTTGGCTTGTCTGTCTGTCTGTCTCTTTGTCTGTTTGTTTGTTTGTATCCAATAAACGTCAAAACGGCTGAACCGGTCGGGCTCGAATTTTTTTTGTGACATCTATGGACCCCAGGGAAGGTTTATGAAAAATCAAAATTTCAAATATTTGTCTCCATCAAAATTCGATCGTCATTAAATTTTTAAAAATTTTGAAAATCCGCGAAATTTTTTGTGAAAATCCGCGGATTATTTTTGTTTTGTTTTACGATGTACACAAAGAGAACATGTTCACAACTAATTTAGAAGATGGGCGTGAAGCGCCCTCTAAGGCTAGAAAGAAGGGCGCGAAGCGCCTTGAATTTCTAGTGCATTTATAAATCTGTATTCTGTACCTGCCCTCTGCTGCCTTGTATTTATAAATCTGTATTCTGTACCTGCCCTCTGCTGCCTTGTATTTATGCTGGATTTGAAGGATTTTATCCTTCAGCTTCTCTTCCCTCTCTACAGCCTTCTCAGCACTCTTCTCAAGCTGTTTCATGTTCTCACCTAGAGGACACAAATCAATCAATCAATCATTTCAGAAGTATTCAATAAACTGATCAGTTTAATAAACACTTGTTTACTTTATAAATCAAATGACCACTTTGTAGATCAAATGATCTGTTGAGAAATCATTTGCAGATCAGTCTAGAAATTAAATGATCACTTTAGAAATCAATTGATCGTTTTGAGAATCTGTTTATAAATCAACTGATCACTTTAGAATGAAATAATCATGTCAAGTATCATTTTATAAACAGGCTTAATAGATAACTGTCGATTAAAAAGTTTTGTATGATTAAAATATTGATTCTAAGAGAATTTACTTCCTTAAATTTCTTTTAAATCATCCATTTTTCTCTAAAATCTCACCGACAGTTTGGAGTTCATCCTCGATGCTCTTGAGCTTGTTCTCTGCTAGCTCAGCGCGCTCAATAGCACGCTTCAGCTCATCCTCCTGGACACCGAGCTTCCTGCTCAACTCATCCAGCTTCTGCTCGTTGTCTGATGCCATCTTGGTGGTGGCCCTCAGGTTTTTGTCGTACTCCTCGATGGTCACCTCATTGTTCATGCACTTGGACTCAAAGACCTTGACCTTCTTGAGGACCTGGTCAGCGTCCTTGGAGGATAGGGCGAGCTTGGTGACGGTATCTGCGAGGTTCTGCTCGGACTTCTTTGCTTCCTCCTCCATCAACATAATTCTAAACACGTTCTTATATTATATCAGATATTTTAACTTTACTCCGGCAATGCTCATCGAAAAAAATGTCAAATTTTAGTTAAAAAGGCCGGTACATTGCATAATTCATTATTTGAAACAAATTCTTTTCAATTTTGTAAATTTTCCTTTCATGGCTTTTATTTTTCCCAGATCAGATTCTAATGTAAGGTAAAGTAAGATTAAAATACAAATAAGTGATGAAAGGACAGTTCTCAGCTAGTGAACATTGTTCTGACCTACGAGTAAGAGCGGCAACATCAGCCTCGACCTCCTTGAAGTGTTTCTCCTTCTCCTCGAGGGACTCGGTGGCCTTGACGAGCTTGTCGTTGGTCTCGTCGAACCCGATCTCAAGCTGCTGTACTTTCTTTCCGTAGTCGCGGATATCACAGTCGGCCTAAAGCATATTAGAATCAATCTACATCTAGTGTATGCCGGTAATTATTCATAATTTGTATGAATTGGTCAGTAATTTACGGTAATATAGCTAAGTTAATTGGGAAAGACCTTCTAGAAATGATTAAAACGGAAATTTAGAAGCCAAAACAGGACAAATTGGTGAAGCGCCCTAAAAGTTAGCGTTAAAAAATCTAAAATTCCATATCAAACTTATTTTATTGCCCCCCCCCCCCCCCAACAAAAAAAATAAAAATGAAAACATGTAGGTTTTTTATTTAAAAAATCAAATTTTCGGTAAATAGTTAAACTTACCTGATCGGCCATACGCTGGTATTCTTTAGAGGAATCCTCGAATCTACCAATAGTTGCGTACAGACTATCCGTCTCACCCTAGATTAACAATATTAATAGTTGCGTACAGACCATCCGTCTCACCCTAGATTTAACAATATTAATAGTTGCGTACAGGCCATCCGTCTCACCCTAGATTTAACAATATTAATAGTTGCGTACAGACCATCCGTCTCACCCTAGATTTAACAATATTAATAGTTGCGTACAGGCTTTCCGTCTCACCCTAGATTTAACAATATTAATAGTTGCGTACAGTCTTTCCGTCTCACCCTAGATTTAACAATATTAATAGTTGCGTACAGACCATCCGTCTCACCCTAGATTCAACAATATTAATAGTTGCGTACAGACTATCCGTCTCGCCCTAGATTTTACAATATTTTTCTATCCCACATTTTGAAAATTGATAAAAACTCAGTTTTTATCAAGAAACATGTGACCAAACTATCTTTTAGATTTTTAATAAGCAATGTTTTTCTTCAAATTATTCAAAAGCCAATTTTTATTTTTTTTTAAAAACTGAATCGAATTCTACCTTAAGGCTCTGCATCTTCTTTCTAATTGCGTCCATCTTGGTTGCCTGGCTTTACTTCTACAAAATATAATAATAATTAATTTTGGATTTTTACTCACAAGAATGAAAAAAATACTTGGTAGCATACTTGAATTTCAAAAAGCTTGTTTATTCTTCTCAATAGTTCTTTCAAAAGAGAAGCTATAATATAAACCATGTAGGATTTTCATCCTGCGTGAATTTTACTTTATTTTGGCGTGGTATCTGGCGGAGTGATATAGAATGTATAATTTACATTTAAGCTCAGATTTTTATAAGAGTGCATGGGGTCGGGGTTAAATTTTGAGTTTGAAAATCCTCTATTTTTAAGGAGTGTATGAGTAGAATGCTAGCAATGGAGAATTGTTCACATTTTCTAGATTTTTCTCATTTAGATTCCCCCCTCACATTCTTTATACTGCTCAATTCTACAGCAATAGTCCATAAGGGTCAACCTTAACAGAAGGGGGGGGGGGGTCAACCTTAAGAGGGGAAGGGTTGGGAAGATTTGGGAGTATACAGAAAAAATGGCAAAAATGAAACTTACTTCTATCTAATAAAAACTATCCAAAAGTTCAAATCTGCCCTTGGACGTCTGATAATGGTGTAAAAAAACATCGAAATATATTTCCTACTTCAAAGTTGATTTTACTGATAGAGAACATTTTTAACCAATTCGGATTTTTCCAGTTAATTTCCCTCTCATTAATCCCGGCCTAATCCCCTTTCTGATAAACTTTAAGAGGAATTAAACAATTTTAATTGTCCATGACGTTATTTCAATATGCACTGACCCCCCCCCAAACCCGTTTGTGTCCATTTCTACAGAGTTTAAGAAATTACGACTTCACAGCAACAATTTCAAGCATTCAGGTAGCAGGAGACCCTCACAAATATTCTTTTAATGGACGGTCGTTGTTATCTTAAATAACTCTCCATTTCTAGAGGGGCATGTCAGATTTACATCGGTACCCCTACAAACCTTCATCCGATCAATAATCTGGAAGATAACGTGGTTTTTCAAGCGGAAAAGTATTCAATTCTGGTAATTTCTAATTTTTTTTTGAGAATGTACTTTATTCTGAGAGATACCATAAATAAAAAGAGACAGTTTTCAGAAACAAAAACATGGATATGTAATTTATACTTGATACTTGGTACCCGGTTGTGAATCGGAAATATCAATCTATCAATGGAGGTTCACATGAAAATACCATCCCATTATTTTGCGATAACAAGATAATATAAACCACCATTTGAATGTCGGTTTTAGTGTTTGTCTGTTTAAGAAAAACGGCGAATGTTGCAACTAAAATGTTGGCCAAAGACAAATAAAGTTATTTGAATGAATTTGAGAGGATTAAACTGATTCTAAACCTCAAGCAGGAATTATACCGTAAATATGATCCACTAAATTATTGAGAAATTTGGACATTTGCATTCCACATTTTTGAATATTGTAATACCTTTGGATATTTACATTTACATAAATTTATAAAAATGGGTATGATAAAAATTTTTTTGGTTAGAACAATATAATCGAGTTCATGTATTTTTAACATTTGAAAAAATACAGTATATTTAATATGGGGGTAATTGAAGTTTTGTTTTTAATTTTGTTAATTTAAATTGTCTTCTATATACCTTCTGCCCTTATCCTTGTCCCTTGCCCAGATATAGGAACAATAGATATATCAGTATATCAATATATAAGAAAAAGCACATAACTTCTCTAACTTCGGGAAATGGAATTTTGGGTTTAAATATTTTTCTTCTTTCAACTTTCAATATCTTATTTTCTTTAATAGTTTTACTACACTTGTATGAAAAAGGTTATTTTGTGAAAATCAGTCAAAATTACAATTACAATTACAATTAAATAAAATCATCGAAACCTTACTTTTTTTAAACAATAATTGCATTAAAATGATTACAACTTACTGTCTAAAGAATTAGAAGATTTACAACGGTTCCTTTTAAACCTTTATCTGAGTATCGAAGAAGACGATATCGTCCTGTATCTTGAAAAGTAACATAATTGAAACTGGTCAATTTTCGGATAGGAAAACAAAAAAGTCTCCATCTTTTTTGCTCTGATGAAGGTTTGTAACGTTGTTAATCAAACTTTACACTTTACATCTTTTCATTTTATATTACGTTTTACAGTCCCTTTAAACTAACCCAGGTACTTGAAGATACGTCTCCAGTCCCTGTAAACTAACCCAGGTACTTGAAGATATGTCTACAGTCCCTTTATACTAACCCAGGTACATGAAGATACGTATACAGCCCCTTTAAACTAACCCAGGTACTTGAAAATACGTCTACAGTCCCTTTAAACTAACCCAGGTACTTGAAGATATGTCTACATTCCCTTTAAACTAACCCAGGTACATGAAGATACGTATACAGTCCCTTTAAACTAACCCAGGTGATACGTCTACAGCCCCTTTAAACTAACCCAGGTACTTGAAGGTACGTTTAAAATCCCTTTAAACTAACCCAGGTACTTGAAGATATGAAAAAAAACTTCTCAATTCATGCATCCTACAAAAAAACCCGATAAAATCCACGAAAATTTAAACCAAAAAAAGGAATTTCTGGCTAAAACGCCATGATTGTTTTAGCAGAATGTATTGCTAACTCTGCAGGAACCTCAGGCATGTATTTGAGCAGAAAGATTTGCTTAATTCATAATAATTCATAAATCCAAAATATTGATATTTTCGCAATATTTAATTAATAATTTCCTTCATTTAAAAGTGTCATTTTAAGTGCAATATCAGAATACAGACATAAAGTACTAAACCATGAGTTTTAGACGTTATGGCTCCTAGGAACAACTTTAAGAGGTATTGGATAAGCTCAGCTGTGACCCTCCAAAAAAACCAGATGTTTTGTCGATTTTTAAATAGCTAAACATTTCCAAAACTACGATGTATTTGGAAAACCTCTGACCACTCCATCTATTCTATTCGGAAATTCAACGAACGTAGACTCCATGACCTCTTCTACATGTATTTATTTGAACTGACCTCTGACCTCTTGACCTCTGAATTGACGTACCTGTACGGAGGACCTGTTCCGATGAAGATCTGCGGACCACAGAGTCAAGATTATGCAGCGCTCACAATGTCGCCTTTCCTTGTGCCAGATAGACAGATAGATAGATAGTCGAGACGGATAGATAGATAGATATAGATAGATAGTCAAATCGAACGGATAGTAGAAAAAGAGAAAGCAGTTTAATTGTCCTTCGTTGAGATTGTTTAGATTTGAAATATTTATAGGAAAGTAAATGCAACTCCATTCCCACTCTCTTCTCCAGCTGTTTACAGCACAATTTATTTTACATTTTTATTGAGTGTTAAGAAGAGATTTATATTTCAGCTATTCCGATGTGGTGGGGGGGGGGGGACACCCTACTAACCAGTTTACTTACCCTATACTAGAGTTTACTTTTCCCAGTTTGGGACACCATATTAACGAGTTTACTTGCCACGTTTGGGACACCCTACTAACCAGTTTACTTGCCAATTTTGGGACACCCAATTCTAACGAGTTTAGTTGCCCAGTTTAGGACACCTTACTAACCAGTTTACTTGCCCAGTTTGGGACACTGTACTAACGAGTTGACATGCCCAGTTTGGGACACCCTACTAACGAGTTTGCTTGCCCAGTTTGGGACATTAAACTAACGAGTTTACTTGCCCGATTTGGGACACCCTACTTGCGAGTTGACGGGTCCAGTTTGGGACACCGTACATGTAATCTGGAAATAATAGGACTGCTTTAAATTCCTGGAGGAAAAATATTCGGATAAAGATTCAAGTAACAGGGTGTGTATTTAGAGAAAAACTATTTTGGCACAGTGAGTTTCATCTATATATAAATCTGGCTTGAGTGTCTGTTTGTTTGTAAAATTTTAAAAAGTGCGCGAAAAAATATTAGAAATCCGCAAACTTTTTTTTGTTTTTGTTTAATTCTGTACAAAGAGAAGATGCTCACAGATAAAGTCACAATTAAAAGTTGAAATAGAAGATGGGCGCGAAACGCCTTAAAAGCCTAGTTTGGTAAAAAATTTCAAACCACAGAATTACCACTACAACAAATAATGGTCATTTGGATACCAATTAACCCTATCCCTGCTGGGTACTTGAAAACCAGGATAATTTTTGAGTTATGTAAAAAAAACTACAGGGGGGGGGTCAAATTGACCCCCCCCCCAGCGGGAATAGGGTTAAATAAGGTGAAGTTTTGAAAAAAATTTCTAAAGATCTTGTTTTGCATAGAGAAAAATATTTTACTCGATCAGAGATTAATCGAAATACTTCTTTAGCAGACAAACAACTATGTGAATACGTATCTAAATTTGAATTGATCCCTCATCTGTTATACTATGATGACAGCAATATTAAATCAGTTGATTAAAATAACTCTTGATTCAAAATTTGTATTGTCTAGTATTCCTCAATCCTTGATGGGAAAACATTGCTTTCTATCCAACAGTTGGACAATAGAGTTAGAAGATAGATGTAGATAATAGATGATAGATAATAGATGATAGATGATAGATGATAGATGATAGATGATAGATGATAGATGATAGATGATAGATGATAGATGATAGATGATAGATGATAGATGGTAGATGATAGATGATAAATGATGGATGATAGACAATTTTACAGATAGAGATAGGGACATAAGAGGAAGTCTTTTCATAACAATAATAATGTACTGGAAGTGTCTATACATGACAGTTTATAGACCTTAGACCGTATAAAGTTACTGATCTGTGTAATCTCTGACAGTTTATAGACCTTAGACCGTACAAAGTTACCAATCTGTGTAATCTTTGACAGTTTATAGACCTTAGACCGTACAAAGTTACCGGTCTGTGTAATCTCTGACAGTTTATAGACCTTAGACCGTACAAAGTTACCGGTCTAAGTAATCTCTGACAGTTTATAGACCGTAGACCGTACAAAGTTACCGATCTGTGTAATCTCTGACAGTTTATAGACCTTAGACCGTACAAAGTTACCGGTCTAAGTAATCTCTGACAGTTTATAGACCGTAGACCGTACAAAGTTACCGATCTGTGTAATCTCTGACCGGTTGAAATTCATTAAATAATTCCTCCATATTCGTGTTAATAATGGGGAATCCTGCATAGTTTGCATGTTTATTTAATCCACATTATGTCTGATGTAAATTCACATTCTCATATATCTAAATATTTAGATACTGTCTGTACGACACGGTTCTGAAAATTATGAAAAATCATGGTAGATTTCTAAATTCTAAATTTTACCAGAAGCATTCACAGGGTGAATAATGGAAATTGCAAATCTAATATAATCTATCTGATCGTAATATAGTCAGATTGATTTTACATATTTTATAACTGTTCATAATCAGATAGACGTTTCTTGTTCGTGTTACACCAAATCAGTTTAAACGTTAAAAAACATTGATCAAATACAAATTTAAACGTTGATTTAACCACCAAATTATAAAAAATTCCAGTTTCAAAACGTGAGAATACAAAAAACACCATGTTTTTTTAAAGTATGTTAATGAACAGTTAAAATGATGAATAGATTGAGTATTTTGAAAAAAAAATGTCCGCAAATGCTCTGGAAAAAATTCAGACCCCCCCCTCCCCCCCCGATATTTCTTTACTAAACAGGGTGGCTAAAATGCATAACCCCTTCACGAAAAACAGTATTAATGTAAAAACTCTGGTCACCCTATGTTCGTATTCTATGGATTATTGAAGGTATTTTAATAGGCAATAATACAAGAAAATTCCAAGCATATACAAGCAGACCGCCCACTCCCAGCCTAATTCAGGCTTACAGCATTTTCATCTTTCTCAAATGCCTTTTTGAACGTTTTCTAATTAATGTTTTTTATAAAACACAATTTTGTGTTATTTTAACGTCTAAGAATTAAGGAATTTGGAATCAAGAAATAAGGGTAGTGAAACAGGCTACGACTAGCATTACTACTTCTCGCCTAGATCAAATTAAAATATTTCACCGTTTTAAATTGATTCCGGCTGCAGCCAAACAGGTAGATTCGGGCCAACCGTCTTTAGCTCAACTTGATTCCGACTGCAACCAAACAGGTAGTGTTCGGGCCAACCGTCTTTAGTTCAACTTGATTCCGACGGCAGCCAAACAGGTAGATTTGGGCCAACCGTCTTTATTTCAACTTGATTCCGACTGCAACCAAACAGGTAGTGTTCGGGCCAACCGTCTTTAGTTCAACTTGATTCCGGCTGCAGCCAAACAGGTAGAATTCGGGCCAACCGTCGTTAGTTCAACTTGATCTTTGTTTTACTTTTCCAAAATATATAACAAATATATGTTTTTAAATCACGATTTTTATGAATCATTTTGTAAAAAATATCTGTATGTGTATGATGATGAATTTACAAAAATCGTGAGCTTACTGCAATCATCCTGTAGTGAACAATAAAAAACGTTAAATTTATGTGAATGAAATCTAATTTTTTTTGCAACTTTTTATAAGGAATGTGTAAAAGCATTTTTGACACAAAATTCTCTTCTGGTTTATAGTAAAGAAGTTTGCCATTGCAATTTAATATATAATAATTCTACATTTATACATTTTTATATTTATATATAATTATAACATTAAATATTTTAATCAGGTTTAATAAGAGATATTGTTTATAAAAATTACAATTTTTTTTGAACTGGGTTGAAAACTGAAGAAAAATTGTCTTTTTGAATTCTAACGTAACACAACTAGTCGTGGGTTTCTTAAGAGGCGATTTGAATGCAATGCATAATCTTTGATTTAAAAATGAGCGATTGTGGGAACTATTAAAGCGAAATCTTTTACTTCTAAAATTTAAGTTTACTACGCATATTAAATACATGAAAAATTAAGTACACATTTTTAAAGCAGTTTTAAATTCAAGATAATTTTAAAGCAGTTTTAAATTCAAGATATGGGCCAAAATAATACTTTCCTGAGAAAATATTTTAAACCTTCAAATATTTCATAGATAAACCTTTTATTAAAATAAACCTTTCATAAAGATAAACCTTTCATTAAAATAAACCTTTCATAAAGATAAACCTTTCATAAAGATAAACCTTTCATAAAGATAAACCTTTCATAAAGACAAACCTTTCAGTTAGGATTAACCTTTAAGATTGATAAACCTTGCATGATAAACCTTTTTTTTAATTAAACCTTCAAAGATATAAACCTTTCTTGAAATATAACATTGAGATGAACTGTGAACAAAACTATGATAAAAGTATTACATTTTGAGAACAATTAATTATAACTGTTTAAATAACAAAAGTTCGAGTAATCATTTTAAATTAAAACTTCTAATCAAGAAGCTAGAATCAAACAAAACTGTTTTCAAAGGATGATTTTACGTGAATTAAAGTAAATAAAAATAAAAATGTAAATATACATTTTTCATGAAATAATTAGAAAAAAAATACTTTGTAAATGTACATTGTACAGTGTACAGTGTACAAAATCTAAATATGCTCAGTATGTACCGAAAGTAACAACTTATCAATGTACAACATATTAATTGTCCATATGTGCAATCAGAGTTAGAGAAGTTGTGTTTAGTTACAAGTGTAATCAAACATTTTGATCAAATAATATTTTAAACTGTACAGTTTACATATATACATTCCTAACATGCATGTACAATGTATTTTGTACAAATTTACATAAGGGTTGTTGTCGAATTTCTTGATTGACTATAGTTGCAATGATTAAACGAATCACTTTTCAATATTTTCTTGATTTCTGTAGTTACACAATCTCAACTAAGCGCCATTTTTTTTCTAAAAACAAAGAGAGAGAAGAGGGTAGAGAGTAAGGTAGAAGAACGGGTAAATTACAAGAATTACAGTTCAGGTTTCTAGCATTCAAGTATTTTCTTCACAATATGCAACCACAAGAACACATTTGTAATCTGAAGGTTCAATAATTACAGGAAATTCGGGTTTTTCTAGCCTTAACTGGTAGTTCCTGTTTGAGTTCCAGGAGTAACAGGAAGTTCCTGTTTGAGTTCCAGGAGTAACGGAAAGTTCCTGTTTGAGTTCCAGGCGTGACAAGAAGTTCCTGTTTTGAGTTCCAGTAGTAACAGGAAGTTCCTGTTTGAGTTCCAGTAATAACCGGATGTTCTTGGCTGAGTTCTGAAAATCAAACCGGAAGTTATCTTATTTCGCCTGGATGGAACAGGATGTACAATGTACATGGTTGGGTTCAATATGTATCAGGAAGTTCTATTTAGTGTTTTTAAAGTGAAACTGGAAGTCCTTTTTTGCTAGATGTAGCAGGAAGTCCATTTTTCGCTAGATGTTAGAAGGAACTCACATTTTGTGTTCCAGATTTAACCGGAAGTTTGTATGATCTCGAGAAGAAACCGGAAGTCAATTTTGTACGAACTATCCGGACTCTCGAGCTGAATTTAATTGTCAATCATTTTCCTTGTCCAGAACTCCTCGTATACTCTCTAGTTCCTCCTGGACCGGCCTAAACATTAATTAATATATGGTCGTCTTCCATTTTTTCAAAACTACACTGTACAAAATGTTAATTCTGTATATCTACTTATTCTGTCGGAGCCTCAATTCTGAATAATATCTGAACAAAACACTTTAAAATCAAATTTAGAAAGATATATTAGGCCTTGTATATTTTATGGAGTCAGCTTGAAGCAAAACATCACTAAATGTTGAAAAACGACTTGAACAAGGTACTCCAAACACTATACCTGAGAAGGTTAAAGGCAGTCAAAAGTTTCTGTATCTCCAGGTCTATTATAGCTTGCTCCTAAACAGACAAAATAATATTATCTTCTTTGCTTTTAGAGAAATATTATTAAAAAATAAATCTAAAAATGTTAAATCTAATCTAAATTAATCTAAAATCTAAAAATGTTAAGGACACATTTCAAAAATATCTTTTTTGGATTAACAATAGGATTTATGAAAGTTGAGAATAAATAAAGACGACTTGTATTACCGTTATTAGAATAAATAAAGACGACTTGTATTACCGTTATTAGAATAAATAAAGACGACTTGTATTACCGTTATTAGTACATTCGACAACAGACAATGAAATATCAGCAAAAGCCTTCCGAAATTTCCAAAGTAAAATTATCAAAAATGTAAGTTTTAGAATTTCATAATCTTGATACGATATACGTTCAAATTGAATTATCAAATTACACTTTTTAACACAAAAGTTTTCTATAGAGCTTAATTTGTTTGTTTTATGAAATTAACAATTCCAAACTTTTAAAATGTTTAATATGCGTAAAGGATCTCACAAAAACAGGATATGAAATACAAAACCGGAACTAAACTTTGGCGTCAAATACCTGCACACTGGTTTAGGTTACGCAATTACTCAAAATGTTAAACCCCTTTTAGTCCCAAACTTAGACTTCATGTAGTTAGGCTTAACTATAACTCTGCAGTTAGCTTACTTCAGGGTCATGCATCAATGCCATTTATATCAAACATGGAACATTTTTAAGAATGCATTCTTTAAGAAAAAATGGTAATTTAGAAATGGTACAAAGGAATGATGATTGGGAATAAAAAAAATCATAAATAAGAATAAAATTTACTGAAAAATCCTTGGGCTTCGCTCTTAATCGGGGTTATCATTGAATCCCTCGATTTTAAAACGATTTTTAACCAGAAATGTATATTTTGGATATGTTTTTTTGAAATAAAATAAATTTTAACTTTGATGGTTACCAAACAATATTCAATATTTTAAAAAATAAATATTTCTGGTTTAGAAACAGAATGTATGCAGTGGATGTATGCTATTTCTGTTCAGATGGCATTTAAATCTAATCAATAATTCTAAATCGTAAAAGTTTTTTACTTGATAGAAATGTATATTTGATGTAGATAAAAATATATATTTAAAAATGGAAAAAATAGATATCAAAAATGGATGAAAATGTACAGATTTGATGTGGATACAAATGTAGATATATTTGATGTGGTTTAAAATGTATATTTAATGTTCATAAATAATGTTTATTTTTAATAAAAAATTCATATTTGATTTCATTGATAAAATTAACGTTTATTTGATGTGGATTAAGGTTAGATAAAAAGTTCATTAGATGAGGTTAAAATGCATATTGGATGTGGATAAAAATGTGTATTTGATGTGAATTTATCTATTCAAATGGATAAAAAAATACCTTCTTCTTAATTCTCGCTGTAGAAAGAACGCCCCTGCTTAGAAATGCTCCTGCTTGAGAATCCCTAGAACATAGTCAAACATTTTTAAAAATATTTTTTTCTTCAAACCCATACTTTTAAAATAATTTCTTTTAGAGAAATTAAGAAGAGACCAAAAAATTAAATAGCTTTGCAAATATTTTCAGATAGTAAAACGAAGATATCTGAAATATATCTTAAACAGTTTAACTTTTAACTCCGAAGAGATCAAAAGAATTTATAAAATGTCGTTTTCTAAACCTACTAGTAATAGAATGTTGCAGATATTTAGTTCCTTAATTAAATAATTATATGGAACTCTTAAACCTGTTCCTGCATATTTCATGGCTACTTATTTATTTTTACAATTACTGAGATTTAGGTATAATAGTATAAAACCCATTGAAAAAAGACGACATATTCGAAATCGTTCTTTTTCGCGTTAAAGTTAAAATACTTAAGGAGACTGTCAGACTTACTTTTCAAACATTGCCTGAAGGAAGAAAAAACGACTTGAATTAAAATTATTTTACAAAAGCTGTTTTTGTTGCTCCTACTTGTTGTATGCTTCTAGAGGTTTCCCCTCTGTAGTCTGTGGAAGCTGGGAGAAGGTTGCTAGAACTTTCCAGCTCTCTTCATGCTTGGAGACCAGCTCCTTGTAATCCATGTGCAACACGTCCAACCCCTGCAATATCAAGTTTATCAATTTGTTTTTCTATATGTATGTATGAAAGCAGAACTAAGGAGATGAAGCTAGGACTTGTTTTACCTTTGACTAAAACGCACTGGGACAGCTCAGAAACTTTTTTTTTGGGAGCGTACGTAACATATGCTACAAAAGAGGAGTTTAGGTCGAATTTTTGTGAAAATATCACAGTTTTCGAGAATTGTTGAGAATATAAACTATTTTTTTTAGAGGGAAGTTGACAAAATGTATAAGTTAGAATATTGATGAATACAATATTTATAATTAATCTTAATAGATCTTTGTGTTATCGACATATTTATAATGTACGCTGACACATCTATAAAACAGTAATTTCTTTTCATCTAGTAGCTCCACATTTTGTATTTTGAATTTTGATACATCTGTACATCTGTACATTTTTGAATCTGTATATCTGTGGCCATTTAGCATCCGAATATCTGTAAACTGTACAATGTACATCTATAAGCTATAAACAATACATCTGTGTAATGTAAACTGTACTGTAAATTGTGAATATGTAAACTGTGCATCTTTTTAAAGTAAGCTATGCACTAGATCTGTAAACTGGTACATTTATGATTTTGTACATCTGTTAATCTCTTGTACATTTTTAATCTGTACAACTGTAAATCTATGCATTTGTACATCTTTACACCAACAAAGTGTATAACTGTACATCTTTAATTTGTACATCTATAAACCAACAAAGTGTACAACTGTACATTTGTACATTTGTACATCTTTACACCAACAAATTGTACAGCTGTACATTTGTACATTTTTACATCTATAAACCAACAAAATGTACAACTGTACATCTGTACATTTGTCTGAATTTTGTTGTTTACCTCCTGAATAAATGTTTTGATACAGGCAACTGTACAACACCAGTTGAATCCAATAGCAGATGCCAGGGTCAATCCATTCTAGAATTATTAATATTAATAAACTAGCTTGGGAACCAAGCGTGGACCAGGGGAGTCATAGTTAGTCCCACCGTTTACACGCCCCTTGTCGTAAATTACGATTTTAGTTATTTTTCCCGATTAAAGTCAACCTACTCAACTCATAATCTCAAAACCGAGCTAAGAACATTCCCGTTGCTCTTTTGAGTTCCCTCATCAAAATGTGAGGCAAATTGGTCGAGGGGTTCCCGAGTTATGATCGGACAAGCAAACAGAGATATCTTTGGAACCCAGCGTTGACCAGGGTAGTCATTGTTAGTCCCACCGTTTACCTGTGCTTTAACGTAAATTACGATTTTAGCTATTTTTCCATCTAAAAGTCTACCCACTCAATAAAGAATGTCAAAACTTAGCTTGGAACACTCTTTTGGATCTCCTGACTTCCCCAATAAAAAATTAAGGCAAATCGGTCCAGGGGTTCCCAAGTTATGATCGGACAAACAAAGAGAATGACAAAGAAAGATTAAAACTTTATTATATATAGATAGATAAATCACGGTTATAATTCAAGGAAAGTTATTTCAGAGGTGTACGCATCTTTTGCACTGCAGTGTACTGTCTCTGGGCGGTAATGTAAACACAATACGGATGTCGAAGCCTGATATGGGATCCATTTTTCACATAAAAAAATCAAAGAAATATTCTGGCCATAGAAAAATATTATGTTAATTATCAAAATTATCCTTGTTTACAAATTCCGCCCAGAGAGAACTGATTTTAATTTGAACGCAGAGTATACGCAACTGCAATTAACTTTCCTTGCATTATAACCTTGGATAAATCAGTAAATCATTCCAAACTCAGGTTAACTGTACCGGGCCCGGTCTCTCGGGACACAAATATCATTTAATTCCACCGTGTCGTCGTTTTGCGGATGAATTTTCCCCATTGAGAGTTAAATTTGAAATAATGTGCAAAAGTGTAAAATAATCCTTTTTGCAAACTTCCATTCAAAGAAAAAGGATAAAACTGTTTACACTATAATATATATGTTATGTAAATTGTAGGGTTTTTACATGGGATGTAATAATTAGGGGTTTTCTCATAGCCTTCAATATTAGTAAGCATAATCAGAGTCCTCAAGTGGGTGTTATGAATTCCATGGAACCCTAAATTAAAATTGTCAATTTTAATATTTATGACCCATTAGAAAAAGTAAATTAAACCTAATGTCTGACTGCGTCAACCTTGTTGCACCGGCTAGTCCTATTGAGTGTCTGCTTTATTTCCCCAATGTCCGGGCGATACAGTACAAACTGGTACCGGAAAGGTTGACCCGGCTCGGAAATTCAAATGTACTATGACTGCCCGTGACTTGGTTGGGAATATAGTTAAAATAAGTTTTAAATATCCTTACTTAATTAAATAAACTTACATACCTTATGTAATTATTTAGTAGGATATTTTTACTTTTTTGTTTGTTTTCGGATTAAATGCAAAATCTGAAATCCCTTTTTTAGTTGTTGATAAGAAATCTGGAATTTAAACCTCAAACAAACAAAGAGTAAGAAGTAAAAATCCCGGCTTACATAATTTCGACAGATTTTAAAAGCAAGCAAACTGTAATTCTTTTTATGAATTGCTTAAAGGGATGTAAGCGTAATTTAAAGGGACCCATCATCCAAAGATTTACAACTGTACCCACCCTCGAAAGTTTCGTCTTATCAAGTATGAAATAGATATCCATGTTTTTGTTTCTTTAAACAGTATTTTATTTTGCGGTTTTTCTGCGGAATTGACTGGCGCATTTCTTGTATATAAGAAGCAACGAAGAAACTCACCAACAAGGCAGGATCCTTGGCCCATCTGTACTGGTTCGCGGGGGAGGGGAGGGGGAGGTCGTTGATCCAGTACCCTAGCATCTCATCCATTGTTTGTTTACATTACTTGTTTACATATTTTGTTTACATTATTTGTTTACATTATTTGTTTACATGTTTGTTTACAATTTTACTTGTTCACATTATTTGTTTACATCGCTTGCTTACATCGTTTGTTTACATTATTTGTTTACAATTAACTGTTTACATTATTTGTTTACATTATTTGTTTACATTATTTGTTTACATTATTTGTTTACCTGCAAATAAGAAAGCGTATCTGCTGAAGCTGATCATGACGCGCATGAATGAGTCGACGTTATCCTAAATTCATCAAACTTAAATCAATCAATAAAAATAGGCTGATTCTTTTTGCATGGGAACAAAAATAGTGGGTGAGTAAAAAAAAGTGTCATTTGCGGCGCCTAGTGCAAAATTGTAGCTTTTTTTGTTCAACTCTCCTGTATGGTGTTTTATCAATAATTTTTGAAAATTAGTAATTATTTTTTGGTTATGTAATGGCCCAAAAAAAAACGGACAACCTTTTTTCTCTCAAAATCAGAAGAACAGAAAAACAAAAATGTTTAAAAAAGTTGTTTCCATTGAAATCTAAAATTTTAAAAAGACTGAATCACAGAATCTCAGAAAATTTTCAAAAATGTAATTAGAAAATTTTCAGTTATGGTATGATTTTTACGGACAAATTGTTTTTCAATGGTTCTTAAGTTTTCAACTGAACCGCGTATATTTAATACTTTAGAATATACAAAGAAGAAAGGAACTAGAAAATGTAAATACATTTTCCTTAAAAATTAGACCAGAAATAAAAATTGCAAATTTTCTTTTTACAATTTTGCAAATTTTCTGTGATTGAATCTTTAAAAAAATTTAGATTTTGATAGAAATAATTTTTATACACATTTTTGCTTTTCTGAACTTTTGATTTTGAGAGAAAAAAAGGTTCGCGGATTTTCTTTAAGGCCATTGGAGTACCAAAAAAATTTCAAGTTTTTTAAAAATATTGAAAAATAACCACACAGGAGAGATGCACAAAAAGGTAAAATTTTGGACCAGGCGCCGCAAATCACACTTTTTTTTGACTCACCCTGTACATAATTTGTTCGACCCTATGCAAAAGATCAAAGCTTATCATCATATGTGGCCACAAAAGAGTTGAATAGACTTCAAATAAGGGGGAAGGGCATGGGGCCAAACACTTTTAAAGACTGAGGTGTTTGTAATAATATTATTTAAATCATCCTCTCCCATGTTCCAGACTAGTCCCCCCCCCCCTTTCTATATGCTACTTTTCAATCTGCTACTTTTCAATCTGCTACTTTTATTTTGTTTAATTCATGAGTAGTAATTATAAAGGAGCGAAATCTTTTTTTAAAAGTGCATTTTTACGTGAATGGACCCGAGACTCAAGAGTCCAGAGTGACTGGTTAAAAATTCTCAAAAAATCTGATAAATTTCCTTAATATTTCTGTACAGGAAAATGATCTTGCTGCCAGGAAACCTAAAAAATTACATTTTATTTTGAAAAAAAAAAAAAATTTTAAAAAGAAATGAGATAAAAATTTCATTTCAAGTTTGTGATTTGAAGGATTTAAATACACAAGATGCAAAGATACAGGAAAAGTATTATTTATTAACAAAATACAATTTTTGACATTAAAATATCTAATTAATAATTATTAAGTTTTCATCCATTAAATCCTTTTTAATAATGGTTGACATTTAGAAAATCTCAAAACTTTAAGTCAATCATAACATAAAATGAATCAATATTTATGCATCATTAAGCTGCATGAATCTTAATGATGCATCAATCAAACTGATGCATCAATCCTAATGGTGCATCAATTATAATGCATGAACCATAATTGTGCATCATCAATTATAATGATGCTCAGTAATAATGGTGCATCAATAATAATAATTCATCAATCGAAATGATAGATGCAGGAACCATAATGATGCATCAATCAAAATGATGCATGAATCATAATGATGCACAGTTAAAATGATGCAAGAATAAAAAAACATGATGCATTAAAAGATGATGAATGAATAAATTTATGCCTAAACCTCAATGGAAAAAAAGATACAACATATGATATATATTGAAACATAATGAGTGTTGAATTCAAATTTTGCATTAATCAACCTGATGCATATTTGACAGTATGTTATAGATTCAAACCTCAAAATTTGAATTAAAAGTTTGTTATCTAGATTGTTATAAATAAAAATAATCTTACATTTGACTGAACATCTTGATTTGTGGAGTACACTTGAACACCGGCTTGATCACTATTGTATGGATTGATTCATCCTGGGATAAAGAATTAGATTAAATTAAATAAAAATGTATTATTTAACTCAAAAATAGATTTTAAAAGTCTAATCAATTTAGATTAAATTAAATTTTAAAAGTATGATTGAATTAAGTCAAATTAAGAAGTGCTTCTCTCCAACTGGTCTCAATTTTACTTTACAAAACTATTTTTTCTATTCTAAATACATTTTTTGCCCCCAAATTTTTATATCTGAAAAATTGAACAGCTCATTATATTAAATTAAAATTAAATATTAATTTAGAAAATGATTAGTTTTGAAAAATATAACAAATCAAGAAGAAGCTCTGAATAGATTTGATATTTATTATTTATGTATTGTTGAGAAAACCAGAATTGAATCCAAAAATACAGGGGAGGAAAGTTTCAATCCATGTTTATAACCTAGACTTGGCACTGAGTGTCAGGTCGGCGATAAATCAGGGATTTGAACTGTTCTCTCCTGCATTCTGGAGAATCAAAAACGATAAAAGAACTAACTAAATGCATACTCTAATCTTCTAATCCTTATACCTTTGAAACCTGATGATGTAAATCTTTAAAATTCCAATTTGCTAGTTTTACCACTTAATTTGAGAAATATCAGAGGTTTATCATCATCAGGTTGCAAACATATAGGTATTAGAAAATTAGAGTTGCATGCGAGCAATCAGTTTATTTTACCTTAAAGGTAACTAGAGTCTTGAGTATTGAGTAAGTAAGAAGCCTGTATCTTTCCTCTGTTATTATTCCTCTTTACAAATACATCAATTTTAGGATTATACAAATATTGTTATTCTTCACATTTTAAAACATGGATGCTTATTGCTAAATCATCGAAGAGAGATAATTCTTGAAAGTACAATGAATTATATTATGAGCATGTTTTGATTATAATAAATATTTCATAGATCGGACATTTTTTCGACATTTAGATAGGACATTTCATAGATTGGACATTTCATAGAATGGACATTTCAAAGATTGGACATTTCAAAGATTGGACATTTCATTGATTGGACATTTCATAGATTGGACATTTCATAGATTGGACATTTCATAGGTTGGACATTTCATAGATTGGACATTTCAAAGACAGGACATTGCATAGATTGGACATTTCATAGATTGGACATTTCACAGACTGGACATTTCAAAGATTGGACATTTCATAGATTGGACAATTCATAGAGTACACATTTCATAGATTGGACATTTCATAAAGTACACATTTCATAGATTGGACATTTCATTTTCTTTTTCTTTTTCTAATCATCTTCCGCGCATTCTATTATTTTTTATTTAGAATTAAAAATGCAATGTTTTCTTATGAAACTTAAACCGAAAATTAAGCTACATCTGACTAAACGAGTGTGACTCAAGATAACATATCCATATTTAATTTTCAAACCTTTAATAGAAAATACACTGTGTCGAGTGACGAATATTGTAAACAGATGAATAAGAGTCTAAAAATGTTGTGCAGTCATGACGTCAAAGTAAGATAAACATAAACATGAACCAGTCATGACGTCAAAGTAAATTAAACATAAACATGAACCAGTCATGACGTCAAAGTAAGTTAAACATAAACATGAACCAGTCATGACGTCAAAGTAAGTTAAACATAAACATGAACCAGTCATGACGTAAGTTAAACATAAACATGAACCAGTCATGACGTCAAAGTAAGATAAACATAAACATGAACCTTTACTATTCATATTTTATCAGCAACAGCGCAAATTCAATCTTTAAAATCCTTATAGATTATTCATTATTGAGAGATGATTTTAACAATCGGTTTTTTAAAAATTATTCAATAACGACGACCAAATAGATTCTAGTACAATAGATGGCAACGTAGAATTTGTACACTCTCAGTACAGCTGTATTCTAACGCCACAAGTGTCAACTCAGTTTTTGTGTCCGACAAAATTATTAATAATAGTGATAATTTTAGAATAAAGAGCTTATCAATTACAGTGAAAAAAGTGCAATTTGATGTGTTTTTTTATTTTCAGTTTTTACATTTTTTTATTTAATCTTGGAGAAAACATGTCAAATAATATGAGAACACTTCGTTTTCCTTGTTTTATTTGACACTTGTGACGTCGTGTATAATTGGTCCATTTCTCTGTTGCCGCCTATTGTACTTGATAATCTATTTGACGACGACGACAAAGGTTTAAGGGATCAGAGATCGAATTTAATGAATTTGCAGGGTCGCTGAACCGCAGGGGAAAATTTGAATCACCGATTCAAATACTTCCTAAATCATTAACTTTAAATCGATGGTTCAAATTTGAACCGGCAATATGTAGATCATATTAATCAGGACTAAGAATTATATAATTGAATTATGAGTGTTTAGTTACTATGATGTCAAAATTACAAAAAAATAGAACTCTATAAGATGCTTGAAGTTCAAGCTTAATATAAATTCGAGAATGTTTTCGATTAATTCAATTAATTTTTAGGTTTTTTTTTAAAAATTTTGGAAATTTTAGGTTTTTTAATGAAAAAAATTGATTCTGTTAATATTCCTGTTATACAGTAGAAGAAGGGTGAGAATACTGTGGGGCTCAGATAACACCTTCAAACCTGAAATATAAGTTCTCAATTATATTTTTATATTTGATTAAACTAGAACTTTCTAGATTTTTCTTTTTAGTAGAGCCAGGTTTCGAATTAGCATAGAAAAGTTAAATTTTTGTATTAAAGAAGATGGATGAAAATATTTTAATTTAGATAATGTTTAATGTTTATTTAACGTTTAACAATGATTTTCCTTAAAATTCTCCATGACTAATATTTAAACTAAAGATGGTTGAATTGTTTGCTTTGTTCAGAGGTTGAATTGCTTTTGTAAGAGATAACACTAATCTACAACAAATGAATTCAACGATAAAGGAAATTGAGTCTTTGCCACAAACTCTGATTTTCCAATCCCTATATCATAGCTTAGATATTTCAAACTATTAATACTTTTAGATCAAATATTATAAGTTTGTGGCAATTCCATATATATAAATTGATTAAATTGATTAAATTGATTAAATTGATTAAATTGATTAAATTGATGAAGAGCTACGACAGTGAAAGACAGCTGACTAGAACTTTTATGATCTTTGTTTCTTATCGATCGAATCTTTCAAATATTCAGAACGAATTAACTTAATTCGAAAAAACAACAATATATAAGTTTAGTGTTTACAGATCAACTTTACATATACAGATGAAGCAGAAAACATTGTACATCGCAATCTCGACTAACCGAGCGATACACATTCGGTTCCGTCAATTTATATTTAACGTTGTTTTGGTCTATAATTCAATCATCTACATCTTTTTCTACTTTTTCATTTAAGCCCCATTCTTCTACAAAAAATATCAATTTTATATTCAATTTGTAAAATTGGGTTCGAACTTCACAGCTCATGCTATGAAAAGAACCAATCAGTTAAATTTGATTAAAAATTCGGTGATGGTGCTGGACCAAACCTCTGTAGAGTAAAAAAAGGAGTTCCACATTTATTGAAAATATATTTCAGTCTGGGTTGATCCTCGTCAGTTCTAACGATATAAAAAAAATTAAAAAATTGTTAAAAACCACAAGTTAAATTTGCTCCCTCAAGTTGTCGGCAAACATTTTGATCTAATAAGCTTCCTAATACGTTGTATTCTGTTTTCTCAGATGCATTTAATGTATTTTACCAGAAAACTGGTTTAAGTTAGATTACATACATGACCTTTCATTTCTATTCTTTACTATTTATTTAATTGAAATAATAATTTTTTGTTTTGTTTTTCTACAATGATTTTATAAATGTAAATGTACCAGTGTTAAATAAATAAAATATTTTAAATTTTAAAGACAGTTCGTTCACTGTTCAGATAAAGCAAATATTTTTGATTTTGTTTGTTTTGCCTTTTTTCTTATTAAAATATTAACCACCTACTTAAATTCTAAACGCTTAAAAAGTATTTCTAATAAATGATTTACTCTCTATATCTCTGACTCTCTAGCTATTTTAGCAATGATGAATATGTTTTGAATATTTTAACTTTTTATACGTGATATATACACTCACATATACATATTAATATATATATTGTATACATATATGCATAATTTATCTACCCACTAGTCTAACTGTATTTATCTCTGTGGTCGTATTATTTGTATTTTACCAGCAAATTGATTTGAATTTATTACTAGTGGTTGGTAATTCTTGTCTTTATTTAAGGAGCAATTTACTAATTATTTTTCTAGTGCTAAATGGACTGAGTCCAAGTTTAATTAATTTGAGCCACGTCTCAAATCCGCTAAAAACCAGTTTCAATTGAGCGCCGGGTTAAATCTTGGAATTTTAAGTGGAATCAACCATATTTGATCCGCGTCTTAAATTTAATCCGCAGATCAAATTCTTTAAATTTGGCCTCTGTCAGGTTAATTCTAAGGTTAATCCCTCCATGCAAAGATGGTACTGCCCGATTTACAAAGGAACCTTTAATATGCTCGAGTTTATGGGAGTTACCCTGATTTTTATCTCTGTTTATTTCTGATAATTTCTGCGTTGTTTCGTATAAGCAAGAAATGCGCAAGTCACTTTTGCAGAGAAACCACAAAAAACAGCTCACAGTTTTTTTTTTTAAACGGATATCTAATTTACTCTAATTTAGCTTTAGTGGGTACCATTGTAAATCAGACATTGCAATCTTTGAATTTAGTGTTTCTTGAAATTACGCATACAGTCCCTTTAAGTGTTTTTAATAATTCCGTCTACGGAAGTGGGATTACATTGACTCTGCATATATTTTGGAATATTAAAGTATCTACTCCAATTTGGTATTTTTTCTAAAATTATTTCGAATTTAAAAGAAGCAGACCTGACAAGTTTTCAAACATTTGAGCTAACAGCGTGGATCCACATCGGCCTAAAATAAAATAATTATGAACATAGTAAAAATTATTATATTAATAATAATAATGATAATAATAATAATAATAATAATAATATTAATAATAAAAATGACGATAATAATAATAATAAAAATGATAAAATAATAACATGAATGATGTAAGTGGTTTTATGATGTTTGATAAAAATCGATAGTTTGTTGGTTTCTCTTGATTTTTAAATGAACGATTAAAAATTTAAAAAACCAAGAGCTCCTGCAGGCCTAAAACAGGCCTACACAGTTTTTGCTTGATTTAGTTGAGTTCACAACGCTGCTGAGAAGAAATTCAACTCTGGGTTAAAGAACCAGTTTAGGTTCAAGCTTTAGACAAAATGGTTTCCGGTTCGTTTAACCCATATCAGCTGATAACCGGTTTCTGAGTTGGTTCAAGTATTTAACAATAAATCCTCCTGTGTTTGCACGTGAGGGGTTCCTGTCTTTATATAATTCAACACCTCGTTTTTACCATTCAATAGAAAATACAAAAACAAAAGAAAAATCTTAAAAGACTTTTTTATAAGGAAAAAAGAAAATGTTCACTTTAAATTTTGCAAACCTTGTGTAATTGAGTAATAAATAAGCGTAAAATTAGTCTTCGTTCATACTCGAGTTAGGCAATAGGCAATTTATTTCGGGATATTTTTAATTTAACAGCAAACCCGTGATATTATGCAAAAGTTTTAAGCTTCCGACAAATCTTGAAATGGTTCAGAAATAAAAGGTCTAGAAATGGTATCTGGTTAAATTGGGAGAAGCAGGACCGATTATTCGGTATTAAAGGGAGTGTTCGCGAAAAGTTAAAGGGTGGTTATTTACAAACATCAATTATATTATGAATCGATTTGTAATGAAATTCATTTAAATGATTTTCGCAAAAAATGCTTAGCAACACAATTTTTGGCAAACATTTCCTTTAAGGTGTGCCAATTAATAGCTTAATTATATATTTGTGAGAAAGAAATGATGAGTACATTTAAAAAACTTACTAACCTGTATTTGCGACGAATATAAGTTTGACTTTAGGCGATCCCAAGGATTCGGTGAACTGAAAAAAAACATTATGTTTTCCACCTTTCTAATATTTTTTGGAAAACTTCATTATTTTTTATTGTAAGTTAGTCTCTTTTTTTAATACCCCGTTTTGTATCAATATTCTTGAAGATTTAATCTCGATATCCAATATGGGTGCTTTTAAATTTGAGGTTAAAGGCTTAATTCCTCAATTAAAGTTATCTCTGCAGGGTATGATCACCACTGCGCACTGGATATCGAAGAGAAATTAAACTTATCCCCAGGTCTGCATAATATGGAGATTAATGCTTAATCCCGAGATTCACAACAAAAAAGTGTTGAAAAAAAACTTTTGTGAGAGAAAAAAAGTTAAAGGCCAGTGTTTCATTGCACCAGAAATCATCATAAATCCCTTTACCTTCAAGAATGCATCTGTACTAATAGTAATGATATGTGTTGCAAGATTGTACTGAGATATGTACAGGAACGGTCCATGACGAGAGGAGTAGACGTCAACACCTTCCTTCACCTACAATATTATTCATGTACAACATTGTACATATAGACAATCTTTGTACAGTGATAACCGGAAAACAAAACAATGGAATAGGAAGACGACTTTATATCTATTCGTTGATGTTATAAATAGTTTTACTAGATATTTTCAAATCACGAATTAAGGGAAATGGGTCTGTTTACATTGCTCAATTGCTGAGGCTAATATTCATTGCACTATTTAAAGTCATAACTTGAGTCTAAAAGTCGTCTTACTATTTCAGAGTTTTCCAGTTTTTACTGTACATCAGAACAAAGTCTTTATGATCTGCAAACTGTATATACTGTACACTAAGCGTTCCAACATGATATAATTAAATGGGATTTTATTTATCGTTTAAAGTTTATTATAGTGCACAAAAAAAATAAAATAAAATGTTTACAAGTGTCAGGCTGCCCCATAGCCTTACATCTTTAAATCGATGCTGCAGAGACGATGCAATTTTCTTCAATTATTTTTTATTAGTAAATAAAATAGAAGCATTTTTGGTTTATGTTTTTATGTATGCCGGTTGAAATATTGTTAAGCTATCTTAAAGATCCAAATCTTAAAACCAGGCCTGTATGCCCTGAATGCTATCAAGGCATCCCGATCAAAATAGCAGCAGAGATGCTTGGGAGGAGATCTGCATTCCAGCCTAGGTCCACCATATAATTATACAGTTAGAACCAGAAAACATTGATATTTTACAGTAAAACCCTAAATAAGCCATACATCGAAAGAATTCATCAAATGTCGTATTCTTCACTTTCTGATAATAGAATGTTGCAAATATTTAGTTTTTTAATTAAATGATTATATGGAGCTCTATAAAACTGTTCCTGCATATTCATGGCTATTTATTTATTTTCGCTGAGATTACTGAGATTTACGGAAAATAGAAAAAAAAACATTGAAAAATTGTCAAGACGACATTTGATAAATTCTTTCGATGTATTTAATATTTAGGGTTTAACTGTAGTAGTCTTGTTTTTTTCTTTAATTGTATAATATACAATTATAATTCTTTTAGAAAATACTCAGGATATTTTTAGAAATGTCTAAGTTTTAACATTTGCAAATTACATCAAATCCTTTGCGAGATTGGTTAAATAAAAGGAACAGTAAAGACGACATGTATTCCACAGTTTTCTGGTTCTCACTGGACAACAATATTAACAGCCTAAAAATATCCCTCAAGATTCCTTATCCAAGATTATCATTATCCTAATAGGGTCACTTTTTACACTATATTTCTCACTACTTTTTGATAATTTTGAAAATTTATGCAATTTTGAAAAAAAAATATTTTTTTACCTGAACAAAACTTATTTCCTCCCCATCCCTCGACACTCCAAACAAACTAACTGTGTCCTAAAAAATCAAGTTTTAAAGAAAAATATTTTTGAAAAAAAAGTCTTAATGTGTTTTAGACTCTGTCCTTGACTAGCTGTAAACAAATAAAAGATAACGATAATGCCACAAACATAAATATTTCATATTACGAAGGAATGTTTTAAACATGGTTTTATTAAACTTAACGTTATCTTAATTTAAGTAATACGTAATCTATACACAGGAGCATGTACCTGGAGTATGAAGTATCCTACTTCTGCACCTACCTGGAGTATATATCATATCCTACTCCTACACCTACATGGAGTATATAGTACCCTACTCCTACACCTACCTGGAGTATATATAATATATATGGTATCCAACTCATATACACCTACCTGGAGTATATATAGAATTCTACTCCTACACCTACTTGGAATATATATAATATATATGGTATCCTACTCCAATATACCTACCTGGAGTATATATAATATATATGGTATCCTACTCCAATACACCTACCTGGAGTATATTTGATATATGGTATCCTACTCCTATACACCTACCTCGAGTATATATAGTATTCTACTCCTACACCTACCTGGAGTATATATAGTATTCTACTTCTACACGTACCTGAAGTATGCATAGTATTCTACTCCTACACCTACCTGGAGTATGCATAGTAATCTACTCCTTCACCTACCTGGATAATATTGTATCCTACTCCTACACCTACCTGGAGTATATATATAGTATTCTACTCTTACACCTACCTGGAGTATGTATAGTATTCTACTCCTACACCTACCTGGAGTATTTAGTATTCTACTCCTACATCTACCTGGAGTATATTTAGTATTCTACTCCTACACCTACCTGGAGTATATTTTGTATTCTACTCCTACTCCTACCTGGAGTATAGTATTCTACTCCTACATCTACCTGGAGTATATTTAGTATTCTACTCCTACACCTACCTGGATTATATTTTGTATTCTACTCCTACTCCTACCTGGAGTATATTTAGTATTCTCCTCCTCTCCTACCTGGAGTATATTTAGTATACTCCTCCTACTCATACCTGGAGTAAATAGTATTCTACTCCTACACCTACCTGGAGTATATTTAGTATTCTACTCCTACATCTACCTGGAGTATATATAGTATTCTACTCCTACACCTACCTGGACCTGGAGTATATTTAGTGTTCTACTCCTACACCTACCTGGATAATATAGTATCCTACTCCTACACCTACCTGGAGTATATTTAGTATTCTACTCCTACACCTACCTGGAGTATATTTAGTATTCTACTCCTACACCTACCTGGAGTATATTTAGTATCCTACTCCTACACCTACCTGGAGTATATTTAGTGTTCTACTCCTACACCTACCTGGAGTATATTTAGTATTCTACTCCTACACCTACCTGGAGTATATTTAGTATTCTACTCCTACTCCTACCTGGAGTAAATAGTATTATACTCCTACACCTACCTGGAGTATATTTAGTATTCTTCTCCTACATCTACCTGGAGTATATATAGTATCCTACTCCTACACCTATCTGGAGTATATTTAGTGTTCTACTCCTACACCTACCTGGAGTATATTTAGTATTCTACTCCTTCACCTACCTGGAGTATATTTAGTATTCTACACCTACACCTACCTGGAGTATATATTCAGGATCCTGCCAGCTATCGTGCCGAAGAATGAAGTTAGTATCAGGTTCAGCGTCTAAACAATTAATAAACTATAAGATATATTTAAATCTTGTTTACTAGATCTTGTATTAGAATCACTTCAATGAATAAATAGCGCGCACCAAAATTTCCCGGATTAGGAAAAACAGGTTTGGATTCTGGGATTATTTAAAGAATTTGTGAATACATCAAACCACGAAAGAATATTTTCTAAAAGCATGCCTATAATACACCAACAGTGAGCGTGCTAAAGAAATAAACATTAAAGAATTAATTGGCATTACGCTAAATAATATTTTAGTATCTAGTTATTTGATATTATTTTAAGCATTGTAATAGGTAATTTAGGATTAGCAACGTATATTTTGTATCCTTTATCCTGATCTGAGAACTGTTAAATTCTATGCATAAATATTACAAGAAATACAATTAATTAAAGGGACTGTATAAATATTACAAGAAATGCAATTAATTAAAGGGACTGTATAAATATTACAAGAAATGCAATTAATTAAAGGGACTGTATAAATATTTCAAGAAATGCAAATAATTAAAGGGACTGTATAAATATTACAAGAAATGCATAAAATGCATAGAGGAGGGGTGGTATTTAAAGTTATAAGTAAATAACATGTATATAAGTGGGCGGTTCTTAAAGTTGTAAGTACAAAACATGTATAGAGGAGGGGGGGCGGTTTTTAAATTTATAAGTACATAACTTGACTTGTGTGGGTTCATAGACCGCTGAGTAGTTTCAGGAAATAGTTTTTAAATCGTTGACCGCGTTTTTTACAATATGAAGAGATTTACAAAACAATGGTATATGTTGAATAATATTTAACCAAACCAACCCGTATTTCAAGGTGACAATATTTTACAAAAATATTATATTTTTTCATTATTTTCTGAGATATACAAAACAAATAATTTAGCTAAAAAATGTGCATCTTAGTAATAAACGTTGTGCGCATTGCCTATTTATAAAAGAAAAAAACTTATTTTTATAGTATGAGGAGGGCCTAAGAAGTATAAGGATTGTCCAAGAAGTATCAGGAGGGTTTAAGAAGTATCAGGATGGTCTAAGAAGTATCAGGATGCAGTCTAAGAAGTATAAGGATGGTCTAAGAAGTATCAGGATGGTATAAGAAGTATATAGAAGTAACCTGATGAATAAAGAGATGATGAGTATTATAAAGGATGAGAATGGTTATGAGGTAAGAAGTTCAAGAATGTCAGGAATGAGGATGTAAATTGTATAATGAATATTGTATAATGTATATCGTATAAGACAACATATTTATTCTTGTGGAATCTGTAAGATCTACACCAGAGCGAAGGAGCCCAATATTACAAAACTGAGCCTCATTGATCCTGAGTCTGAGCCTCAATAAGGAGCCAAATATTACAAGACCGAGCATCTTCGATTTTGCGTCCGAGTCTAATTAAGGAGCCTAATACTAAAAAACCGAGCCTCCTGGATCCTGCGTCTGAGCCTCATTAAGGAGCCCAATATTAAAAGACCGAGCCTTCTTGATCCATCGTCTGAACCTCATTAAGGAGCCCAATATTACAAGACCAAGCCTCCTCGATCCCGCATCTGAGCCTCATTAAGAAGCCCAATATTACAAGACCGAGCCGCCTCGATTTTATTCTGAGCCTCATTAAGGAACACACTATTACAAGACCAAGCATTTGAAGGAATATTCGGCCACAAAAATGCAGAAAGTGGGGCTAGGACACTAGGACACTGCAAGTTGTCTCGCCTTCCTTCCTGCTCTTTCTATATAGTATATATAGCTAGGTTTATCATGAATATAAAGATAAACTGAGGGAGGGGAGTTCTGCCCGCGGACTTACTATTAAAATGTGTCCAATATACATACTTCTACAAAACAAAGATTAAAATTTGATTTTAAAATATATTTATTTTACTTGCCTCAGGTTAAATAAAAATGAAGCACATATTATTATTGAGTATAAAACCTGTTCGACCAAAACTGTATTTGAAGTTTAAACTATTTATTCTTTCATTTCTTTTTATATATCAGACGGTGCAGTACCAGAATTATAAAGTCATTTAATAAGTGTCGATATAAGAAGTTTTTTTTCATGAAATAAAAGAATAAAAGAAGATTACTTGATATCAAAAGTCGTGGCATGTCAAATAACCGCTATAAATATCACATATTTATGCGATTTTTTTATTATTGGAGATTTGAGTCGGTTTTCTATGATTTAAATATTGGAAACTGTTTATCTTTATTTGCTAAGTACGAAGTACGAAGAACAGGCACGGGTAAACCTATGAGTAAGTTTGTGCGCGCCGCGCGGTGTGATGTGAGATAATGCCCGGGGGTAATATTTTATCCGGGTTATACCATTAAGTTTAAGAAGCCATTTTAACTACAATGTTAGTTTACAAAAATGTTGATAAAAACATGAAATAGGTCTAAAGTAAATTGATTTTTTACGAAAATAATTTGATTTATTAAAAATGCATTAAAGTCTTGAATTAAGTAATAAATAAAAAATAAAAGAAGAATATTTTCACCCTTGTAGGGACTGTTAATGTAATTTTAGATAAACCTCCGTTCAAAGATGGCATTGCCTGATTCACAACGGTACCCTTCAAATATAATAATTATGCTAATGATACAACAGGATTTATCAATATATTTTAAACTTTTAGCGGGCAATACCCAGTGGGCAAATTATATCGCAAAATCTAAACTTTAAAAATAAAAATCATTATTTGAATTTTGTTGGGGCTTTTCGTTGCTTTTTTCATTTTCTGAACAAATTCTGCAATATTTTCAGGTATTTGTTGGATTGATATTTGAGAAATATATTGGCCTGGTCTGACCAATGCTTCTACAGATGACCTTGTCCATGGTATGTACGCAACCTAGGCAATCAGGTGTTTACGCAACTTCTTCACATTCACATGAATGTGCGTATGTGAATGCGTACAATGACCTGACACCCTCCCTCCTCCCTTACAGTTCTTCATCGTGTCCAAATATGTGAAGGTATCCAAGGTCAAGAATTATATCCATGCCCAAAGACTGTATTTTACAAGACCAACAATTAAGGACTGCCTAGGGGGAATTGTATTGCTTGAACCTGTATCAAAGGAAGTAACTGACGAAATTAGGCATTGCCAGTCAGACTTTGATTAATGTATCAGTGTACAGTGTACACTGTACACTGTACACTGTACCTTTCAACGGAAGTTGAAACAAATATTCTAATTTTTATTTTTTTAGAATTCTTAGCTTTTACATATCTGTCTCTGTCCTGACCTAAAGCATTGCAGGTTTATTGCTTGATATGGGTTTTTTACCCCTTGTCTTGGACTCTCTTGACCTTTAGCTTAATTCATTGTTTTAAAAAGGGAGTGACCGGCTATGTAAGGTAGTTGAACTGAGTATGCAGTGTTGTGGAAAAATTCTTTAAGATTCATTTGAGACATATAAAACGTATTCACGATGTATAATTACTGAGTTTGAGTGCATAGTCGACGTTCAAAATCATCAATTTGAAAAATGAAGAATGAAAACTCAGTAATTAAACATCGTGGAAACTTTTGATATGTCTCAAATGAATCCTAAAGAATTTGTCCACAACACGTCAGTGCATACTCAGTTCAACTACCTTACATAGCCGGTCTGTCCCTTACATAGCCGGTCTGTCCCTTATATAGCCGGTCTGTCCCTTACATAGCCGGTCTGTCCCTTTGTATGAAGAGCATTCGGTTAGAGATTGCATATCAATTCTTGTAATCAATTTCAATTTAAAAGTTAAAGAAAAACATTGTTATTATATCGTTAGAACTGACGAGGGTCAACCCAGACCGAAATATATTTTCAATAAATGTGGAACTAACATTTACTTTTTTAACTCTGCAGAGGTTTGGTCCATCATCATCACCGAATTTTACATCATAGTATAAAGTATATAAATAAGATAACCTACGAGTGAAGTAAAAGAAAACTAATGAAAAAAAAAATAAGTCATTTGAATATTAGATTCAAGAAGAAAACTAATAAATGAAAAACAAGTCACTAGAATATCAGATTCAAGAAGAAAACTAATAAATGAAAAACAAGTCACTATAATATTAGATTCAAGAAGAAAACTAATGAAAGAAAAACAAGTCACTAAAATATTAGATTCAAGAAGAAAACTAATAAATGAAAAACAAGTCACTATAATAATAGATTCAAGAAGAAAACTAATAAATGAAAAACAAGTCACTAGAATAATAGATTCAAGAAGAAAACTAATAAATGAAAAACAAGTCACTAGAATATTAGATTCAAGAAAAAAACTAATAAATGAAAAATAAGTCACTATAATATTAGATTCAAGAAGAAAACTAATGAAAGAAAAATAAGTCACTAGAATATCAGATTCAAGAAGAAAACTATTATATGAAAAATAAGTCACTAGAATATTGGATACAAGAAGAAAACTAATAAATGAAAAATAAGTCACTAGAATATTAGATTCAAGAAGAAAACTAATAAATGAAAAATAAGTCACTATAATATTAGATTCAAGAAGAAAACTAATGAAAGAAAAATAAGTCACTAGAATATCAGATTCAAGAAGAGAAAAATAAGTCACTAGAATATTAGATTCAAGAAGAAAACTAATAAATGAAAAATAAGTCACTAGAATATCAGTTTCAAGAAGAAAACTCATAAAAGAACGAAAGTCGAGATGTAAGAAAACTTAGAAAACTTAAAAAGATAAAAAAAAATGATGAAAGTGTAAAAATGCAATGAGGAGGGGAGATAGAAAGCAAAGGAAAAAAAGTATAAGGGAATAAGAAGAAGATAAAAGAAGAAGAAAGTGTAGATGTAACTTAAAGACGAAAAAGCAAAAACAACGTCAAAAAGGAGAATTAACGTTTAAAGAAATAAGAAAAAAGACAAAAAAGAATCTATTAAAGGGACAGTAAAGGAAAAATGAAAGGGGGTATAGGCTGAAAGCTAATCACTTTAGCTCTTGATCGCGACCCATGAAAGTTATATCTGATGTTCCTGTCTCGAGAAACTGATATAAAACTGTGTTAAAATTATACGAAAATTCATAAATGTAAAATTTTGAAAATCTGAAACTTAAATCACGTGACCAGAACTATCACCAATGGCAGAGCAGTATCCTGGTCACGTGTCTCCGCCTGTATCACGTGACCACTTTACTGCACTGCCATTGGTGGAATTTCTGGTCAAGTTATACGGATGTATAAATAATATTATGAATGAAATCTATTGAAAATATAAATAACAAATATAAAAGTAAACATAATTTACAATTAGCTTTCTCTGGGATATCATCGTTTTCAGATTGGTTGCTTAATTGCTGAATATGATCTGTTTAAACCTACTACTTTTATACAAAATTGTATATATATTGATTTTCGTATATATTTGACACAGTTTTATATCAATTTCTCGAGACATGAACATCAGATATGACTTTCATGGGTCGCGATCAAGAGCTAAAGTGATTAGCTTTCAGCCTATACCCCCTTTCATTTTTCCTTTACTGTCCCTTTAAAGAAAATAAGAATAAGAAACAGATAAGAAAAAGAGGAAAAATAAATTAAAAAAACATTGAAAAGGCAAATAATGGAGAATTAAAGGATAAGCAAAATACTTAAAGAAGAAACAGATGTAAAGTAGAAAAGAAGGATAAGTAAACGTGCGAGAATAAACGATGTGGAAAAGAAAAAAATGAAGAGAAACAAAAAAAAATCCAAATTTTAGAGTTCGCACTATTTCTTTCTATTTACCTGCAAGCGATCTTTGAACTATTACTCACTGCGCGGAGTAAATAGTACTCTATAATATCTGATATTTGTTGTCTGATCAAAACAGCAATATTTTTATTCAAAAACAATTATTCATTATTATTTTTATTATTATATGGAGATGAATGTGCCAAAATATTTAGATCCAAAACTCAATTAGTGAAAACAAAAGGAAGCCATCGAAATTATGAAAACGATAACAATATAGATAATGATGATGAATAATGATAATAATAATAATAAAAATAATTAGACAGAAATAATAATAATAATAAAAATGATTAAATAGATACAATAATTATAAAAATATTTGCATGTTTCCTGAAAGACATTTTGAATAACGGTGTCTATATCACAATATTTTTGCAAATAACTAAATTCACTTTGTTTTGCCACGAGTTGAAGGCACTGGTTTATATCCGGCCTAAGGCCAGTCTAGCCACTTGCCTTGGGACTTAGGGCTGTCTAGTAACTAATCATTGTTTCCTGAAATTATATTTTAATTATTAAATATGATTTTAAAGTTATGCTTAGGGATTAAAAATATATTTCATCTCACCATAAAAATGTATTTGTATGCAAAGAAAGTTGTTTTCAGTGAAGCTAGATCTAGACCTTATTCTTTTTAATCTTTACTGTAGAAATCCGCAAGCTTTTCATAGATTTTTACAGGATCGATATAAATCGTTGATGGTGCTCTTTAAGTTAAGAAGACGATGAGAGTCCCTTTAGTAATAATGTAATGTTGCTTTCGAATTCTATTTCTTAATCCAGGATCGACTTTAGTTTCATAAAAAGATGCTAAAATATGTCGTTTCATTCTTTCCACTTTTAACATATCTTCTGTTGTGTTGGTTGAAATTCTTGAAGACAGTTACAAGAGGTTTCATCAACTTCCAAGACTGGGTCAATTCTTAAGTGTCACAACGCCTTAGCCTTTTGATTTTATCTCACTGACTCACTTCTACTTTTTTGTAGCCCAAGACATTTTTTTTACATGAACCAATCTTAGAGTTATTATTAGAACTACAGAGAGACCAAGGTAACTAATTAGAGATACAGAGATGCCAGTGGTAACTAATTAGAGATACAGAGATGCCAGTGGTAACTAATTAGAGATACAGAGATGCCAGTGGTAACTAATTAGAGATACAGAGTGCCAGTGGGAACTAATTAGAGATACAGAGTGCCTGTGGTAACTAATTAGAGATACAGAGATGCCAGTGGTAACTAATTAGAGATACAGAGTGCCAGTGGTAACTAATTAGAGTTACAGAGATGCCAGTGGTAACTAATTAGAGATAAAGAGTGCCAGTGGTAACTAATTAGAGTTACAGAGTGGCAGTGGTAACAACTAATTAGAGTTACAAAGTGCCAGTGGCAACTAATTAGAGTTACAAAGTGCCAGTGGTAACTAATTAGAGTTATAGAGTGCCAGTGGTAAATAATTAGAGTTACAGAGTGCCAGTGGTAACTAATTTTAAACCAAAATTTAACTTTTTTTAAATGTTATTGTACGTATTGCGTAGATTACAGAAATGGCTATATCTCTCTACTCCTATATTGATAATGCAATATTGTATAAAAGATAAAGAACAAGGTTAATAAAAGATAAATACACGCCTCGAAACTGGGTCTGCTTAACGTTAATAAATTCAAGGGTATATCTCGTGGACTAACAAATCTTTGTAAAGGTTTAAACAAAAAAGGAACCCCAATTGGCCCGGAAGAGATAAGAATGATTCGTCATAGAACTCTATTGCATAAGTTGAATAATTAATGACATTTTGAAGTGTACG